CTTGTGTTTCTCTCCAGCCTCTGCTTCTGGATACTGGAATGGGACGGCTGTGCACACTGGATGAAGCCGTCTCCCTGGCAACAATGATAGAGCGGATCAAAGAACACCTAAAGTTATCTCATGTTCGCTTAGCTCTCGGAGTAGGGAAGACCTTAGGTAAACGTCTTTCATAGCTAGCAGATCCACAGTGACTTGGACAAATTTTGGTTTTGGTTATTTTTGACACCTGATCTCAGAGCATAGGATGGCTTCAGACTCCGTTGGCCTCTGTCTCCCAGAGGCTGGGGTTGCAGGTGTACTGCTTTTATTCATGTAAGTGGTAGAGAACACGTCACTCAGGGAGACAGTGGGTCTACCTTGTCAGCCAGGGTAGGCTGGGCTATAATGTGGGATACATCTCCCTAGCCTAAATGATAAAGTGTATTTCTTAGTTTTCTGTGTTCATCTCCAGTCAGCACTGGACGTCTGTGAATTATAAACGGGTCATTGTTGCAAAGGGAACAGAGGGTTTTAAATCATCAGGTAAAAGTTCTAGACCTGCTGGGCGTGACAGTCCACGCCTTTACTTCTAGCACCTGGCAGAAGCAGGCAGAGCTCTGAACTGTGTCTGTGTGAGTTCAGCTCAGGCTACTCCCAGAGAGCCTGTCTTTAAGAAAGAGGAGAGGAAGAGGTGCCTAATACATTTCTAACACCCTGGGTTTTTTTTGTTGTTGTTGTTTGTTTGTTTTGTTGTTGTTTTTTGGTTTTTCAAGACAGGGTCTCTCTGTGGCTTTGGAGCCTCTCTAGGACCTAGCTCTTGTAGACCAGGCTGGCCTCAAACTCATCCCCCTGCCTTTGCCTCCTGAGTGCTGGGATTAAAGGTTTGCACCACCACCGCCCGGCTGTTGTTTTATTTTTTAAGACAGGGTCTCACAGTGTAGCCCCTGGCTGTCCTGAAACTGTAGACCAGGCTGGCCCTGAACTCATGGAGATCCACCTGCCTCTGCCTCCTGAGCTTAAAGGGCTTAAAGGTGTGCCCCATTATACCCATCTTTAAAATCAACACAGCGTGATTCGTACCCTGGTGAAGAGACTGGTCAGTCTGCTTTAGGGTTAGGATTCAGCACAGATGGTAGCGCTGAGCTGAAAGTGAATGTCTCTCTGTAACAACGCCTCTTGTTTTGTCTTGAAGAGTCTCCAGTCAAAGTTGTGGCCCTGTGCGCTGGTTCTGGGGGCAGCGTTCTACAAGGAGTGAAGGCTGACCTTTACCTCACAGGTATGACAACTTCTGGATCTCTTCCTCAACCTGGCTTGGTTCCTTTGTTTTGTTTTGTTTTTTGTCTTTCGAGACAGGGTTTCTCTGTAGCTTTGGAGTCTGCCCTAGAACTACCTCTTATAGACCAGGCTGGTCTTGAACTCACAGAGATCCGCCTGCCTCTGCCTCCTGAGAGCTGGGATTAGAGGCGTGCACCACCACTGCCCGGCCACAATAACCAACAAGGCATTTTATTTGTTGACAGGGTTTCCTATAACCCAGGATTAGCCTCCAGCTATTAGCTGAGGCTGGCGTGGACTCTTGATCCTTCTGCCTCAGCCTCCACGTTCTAGGATTACAAGTACACTGCCATCCCTGGCAGCATTTTGCATCAATCAAAAAAATATATATATATGTGTGTGTGTGTGTGTGTGTGTGTGTGAGTAACACAAGCGTAAGAGGGAAATTCCACACCTGGACTTATGTGACACGTTACAATAAAAATGCTGGCACATTCAGAATACCGTATGATACAACCTTCAGGCCGAGAGGATGAAGTACAGTGGAATTTCATGTTTGGGCTACACGCTTGCTTTGCAAACCTGGATGATTGGCCTTCAATCCCGGATGCCACAAGGGGAGGAGAGGAGAGAACCGACTTCTGAAAGCTGGTTTCTGACCTCCATGTGCGCACGCACGCACGCACGCTCACACACCCTGTGCCATCTCTCTCCTGTCCCAGTCCTGCATACTTTCCCCTGAACATAGACTCAGTACCATAAAGTGATAAGTAGTTTGGACTTTTTCTTTATCTGTTCTGGGCAGCGCTCAAGAGGCAAGCATTCTACATCTGACTGCATCATGAGCCTGCGGTTTCTGTGCTCAGGAGCAGTGGGGCATTGCGTTCATTCATTCAGAATACAGACACAGGCTTTTCTGCTGCGGTGGTACAGGGTGCACAGATCCCATGTCTGATAGTTAAGAAGTTGCTCGTTCCTCTTTCGCCAGGTGAAATGTCCCACCATGATGTCCTGGATGCGGCTTCCAAAGGAATAAATGTCATTCTCTGTGAACACAGCAACACTGAACGAGGCTTCCTTTCCGATTTGCAGGAAATGCTGGGTGCTCATTTGGAGAATAAGATTAATATCATCCTGTCTGAGACAGACAGGGACCCTCTTTGTGTGGTTTAGAGAGCAGAGGGAGTCAGAGTCAAGCTGTGCACCATTTGGGTGGAAACAGGGATGTCCAGGGAGAGTTACGGTGCTGTCGTCCTCCTGCAGAAGCGGGCTCCAAAGACGTCGTCCAAGTTCATCAGTAAGGTTCCAGATGGTATAGCTCACAAGGTAAAGAGTGCAATAAAGACACATGCTCACTATAAACTCTTGGAAAAGGCAACTAAAGCCTGGATATCACTAGGCGCTTTTGTTTGATTGTTTAATGTGACAGAATCTATAACCCAGGATAGCCTCCAATGCACTACTTAGCTGAGGCTGGCCTTGGACTTTGGATGCTCATGTATGCACTCAACACCTCTGAAGTAGCTCTGTATACACGGGATGTCCATCTCAGTAATCTCTGCCCTCTGATTAATCTTAAACACCATTTAAAAACAGATGTGGAGGGGCTGGAGAGATGGCACAGAGGTTAAGAGCACTGACTGCTCTTCCAGAGGTTCTGAGTTCAATTCCCAGCAACCACATGGTGGCTCACAAGCATCTGTAATGAGATCTGGCGCCCTCTTCTGGCCTGTAGGTGTACATGCAGGCAGAGCACTCTATATATAAAAAAATCTTTTTTAAAAACTGGATTTGATTTTTTTTTCCTAAGTGGCATTTTTGGGTGATGAAGTAAATCTGTGTGCTAAGTTAGGCATCAGAAATTTTTTTTTTTTTTCGAGACAGGGTTTCTCTGTGGCTTTGGAGCCTCTCCTGGAACTAGCTCTGTAGACCAGGCTGGTCTCGAACTCACAGAGATCCGCCTACCTCTGCCTCCCGAGTGCTGGGATTAAAGGCGTGTGCCACCACCGCCCGGCATCAGAAATCTTTTTAAAAAATATTTAAAAACCCACTGGTGATCACTATCTATATTCGTACTTACTCCTATAATTTTGGGGTTTTTGGTGGTGAAGGGATCAAACTAAGCACCTTGTACAATTACTGCTCAAGCTGGCAGCATGAACCTGGAAGACCGGGGCCTAAAAAATGAGGCGGAATAAAGTCTCATGCAATAGGCAACTTTATTTAGAGACTCAGACAATTTAGACTTTGAAAGTTAAGCAGAGTCACCTGAGTAAAGTGTACAATCACATGGAGAAATGGCACATGGCAAAAACATTTTTTCATAGAGGCATATGAACAATAACAATAGCCAGCTGCAATAGTTTTGTGTTTTTGCAAAAAAGAAAAGAAAAAAAAAAACAAGCAAAAGAAACCCGATTCTTGTTTTATTGAAGTATTCTCACAAGCACTCAGAATTCCCCTTGTACAACTCTATTCTTATATTCTCTCTCTCTCTCTCTCTCTCTCTCTCTCTCTCTCTCTGTATAAACAATCCTAGCTGTCCTGGAACTAGCTCTTGTAGACCAGGCTGGCCTGGAACTCACAGAGATCCGCCTGCCTCTGCCTCCCGAGTGCTGGGATTAAAGGCGTGCGCCACCACCGCCTGGCTGTACAGCTGTATTCTTGAACTGTGTTCCACATTATGAATGGAAGGTCACGTGTTCTAACTGATCTCCAAAGTGACTTGTAGTTTTGTTGCTGATTAATGGTGTTCAACACTCAGAATAGAAGTAGTGATTGTCACACAGCTTCCTGCAGGTGTTCTACAAGCCAGATGCAGAAAGACACATTCTGCATGCCCTCTCTTAGAAGAACCTAGAGTGTGTGTGTGTGTGAGTGTGTGTGAGTGTATGTGTGTGCACGTGCTTGTACACATGCAGGTCATAAAACCAGAAGGGGAAGAGACAAGATGAAGAGATTTTTAAGGACAAGGAGGGTAATGGGATGCATGAGATAATAAAGCAGAAGAGGGAGAGAGGGGGGATGGCTATTGGGGATCAAGGAGGACCAAGTACAATGATTTATACATATATGGAAATGTGTGTGTATACACACATACATACATACACACGTACATACACACACGCATATACATACATACATACACGCATACACACATACATATGGAAATGCCATAAGGAATCCAACACCTCTGCATGCTAGCCTAAAAATTAAAACAAAAACAAGAAAAGAGTTCGCCTGGTGAATTACACCTCCAGCCCAGAAGCAAATCAGGCAGGAATTACAACTTCAAGTTCCTACACCTCCTAGACAGGAAGGAACAGAGCTGCTCAGGGAAATGAGTAGAGCCCACGAGAGCTGTAAGATGCACTCAGAATCCCTTTTCAAACTCTTCAAAACAACTAGCATTATAAAAGGACTATACATTCTGGTCTTTTATTTATTATTAGTAACATCTAGTAAAAAAAAGAACATGAGGACCTGAATTTGAACCCCAGCTCTGACGCAGAACTCTGGGCATGTCTACGGTGCCCTAGCTACACTGGCAGGCAGAGACAGCTGACTCATGGCAGCCCATCTAGCCTAAAAGGAGCCTCTGGTTCACTGAGACCTTGTCTCAAGGTAATAAGGCAGAAAGCAAAAGACACTTAGCATCTTACTCTGGCCTCTGCACAGAAGCACACGCACGCATGCATGCATGCACACACACACACCACAGAAAGCAAAGTGCAAACCAGCAAGTCTCATGTGATCACTGTGCATTTATTTAGCGGCTGCTGTTTTCTGAAGCAGGCATCGCTGTGGCTCAGACTGACCTAGAACTCGTGCTTCCTCCCTCCCCTTCTAGTGTTGGGATCACAAATGTGAGCTCATGTCTTGCTACTGTTGTGTGGGAAGGAAAGAAGCAGTCTGCCTGCCTCTGAGTCCTGACAGTGGGATTACAGGCGTGTGCCAGCTATGCCTGCGTGCTGTTTAAGAAAATAAAAACTGTCAATGTACAAGAATAGTGAAATGTTTTTATCTTCTGCTGTCCTGAGAACAATTATTAACGTGTAAATTGGGATTTTATTTTTAAGCCTGGCTTCCCGTTTGTATCATAAAATCAAGGTGATGGTAGATACTAACTGAACTAAATATGCTGTGTTGGTTGGCACACGCCCTATCGGTTCCTTACACTTCTCCCTCCACCTCAGTTTAACAGCCCCACCTGTCCTGGGCATGTGTAGCGGGCCATCTCAGCCCACTGGATACCTTTATCACTTCAGAGAAAGCAGGTGAAGCCCGCCCTCCTGACGAGCTCTGTGACCCCATCTTTATCACTTCAGAGAAAGCAGGTGAAGCCCGCCCTCCTGACGAGCTCTGTGACCCCATCTTTATCACTTCAGAGAAAGCAGGTGAAGCCCGCCCTCCTGACGAGCTCTGTGTGACCCCATCTTTATCACTTCAGAGAAAGCAGGTGAAGCCCGCCCTCCTGACGAGCTCTGTGTGACCCCATCTTTATCACTTCAGAGAAAGCAGGTGAAGCCCGCCCTCCTGACGAGCTCTGTCACCCCATCTTTGTGCTTCCACATCTGAAACAAGTGCACTTGTAGGAATTCAGCTCAGGGAGCGTTAAACGGCCCTCAAAAATTAGGGATAGCATTCAGTATAAAATAATCCAAAACATCCAGTTCCAAATAATCCCTGAGCACACTGTTCATCCAGCAACAAGTCTCCAGAGAGGTAATAAATTAAAGGCACATTTCCCCCCAACTCGATGACACCGCACAGTATTAGAGACAGTAATCCAGCCAGCCTAATCAAAGTTCAAAGTTGATGATCTGCCCCTTCAATAGCCTTCAATAGTCAATCTTGTGTGTTGGACAGAATGATCTAGTGCTAAACGTAAACCAGCATTCTTACTAAGAGCGGCAGCTGGGGTACAAGACTCTTCCACCTAAAGGAGGCAGTCTAAGCCTCCTCCTCTTCCTTCTCCAGGAAATCAGCCAATGTTCCGCTGTCAACAGGAATTAATAAATATTCTACACCATCAGTTCCCTACAAGATAAAAGAATACTCCATTTGTTAATCCTTGGCAAGGGAGCTATCTGGACCTTTCTATTACACATTAAACAAACCAACAAATAACAAAACCCTGGACTTGTAAATTATTAATATTTGGTTTTTCAAGACAGGGTTTCTCTGTGCAATCCTGGAAGCCCAGAAAGACACTGCGTAGGCCAGTCTGGCCCGGAACACAGAGATTCACCTGCCTCTGCCTCCTGAGTGCCGGGATTAAAGGTGTGCGCCACCACCGCCTGGTTTGAGTTTATGTTTTATGCAGTATTCTAATATCTGAATAAGTATTTAAATACCTAAGCAGAAAAATCAAGGCAGGCAAAGGGAACGTGACTGTGTCTAAACCCTGAGGTACAGTCAAGCACTCTAACTGAAGTCTGGAGGGTGGAGGGGTCACTGTTTTCTTCACTGTGCTTTCGGGCATGTCTGACCCTGCGACCCTGTCATGTGTGAAGTTCATCCGTGAACCACGCAGCACATTTACAGCTAGACCATGTTCACTGTCAGCCACAGCTGGACACACCGTGCCCTTTCCAAACCGGTCAGTACTGACTATGTTCTACCTGCCCCATTTCAACACGGTTCGTCTTACCGACCTTTGTTGTGTTTTTGAGACAGGGCTTCACTGTAGCCGTGGCTAGCCTGGAACTCACTCTGTAGACCAGGCTGGCCCCAGCTCACAGAGATCCGCCTGCCCCTCCTCTCTAGGGCTGGGATCAGCGAGTGCTCCACCACCCCCACCGTTCACTTGATTTGAATACATTCAAGGAGCTCTCACCCAAGACTATCTTTTGGGGTTGGGAAGAAGGCCCAGCAGTAAAAGCACCAACTGCTCTCCCCGAGGACTTGGTTGGATTCCCAGCACCTATATGGCAGTTCACAGTCACCTGTAACTCTGGTTCCAGGGGACCCAATGCCTGCTTCTAGTTTCTACAGACACCAGGCTTGCACACATGGTGCAGATTCGTACAGAACATACATACACATAACAAAGTCATCAGAAATAATTTATTGACTCTTTAGCACTGCCCTGCATTTCACACTTCCTCTTTTCTCACAGCAATCCGTCCACGGCACCGCAGAGCAAGTTATCTGCTTTTCCTTCCTGCCTGGTCTTCAGTCAACACCGCGCCCCACCCCTCATGGCCGAGGCTGTCTCCTGCCTGGTCCTCAGTGAACACCGCGACCCACCCCTCATGGCCGAGGCTGTCTCCTGCCTGGTCCTCAGTGAACACGGCGCCCCACCCCTCATGGCCGAGGCTGTCACAGCCGTCTCCTGCCTCCGTCCTCAGTGAACACTGCGCCCCACCCCTCATGGCAGCCGTCTTACCTTCTTAGTTCTTATAAGCTTGTGATCCCTGAACTCAGTCAGCTGGGCCCGGAGAGTGAGATCGCTGTTAACAAGGAAGGCCTCGCGACACTGCTGGTAAAAGTCCTGAAAAGAAAGTCCTGGGGAGACGGAAAGATTAAGTTAATCAATGCTTTGTTTGCTTTATTTACATTTTTAAGACAGGGTCTTATGCAGCTCTGGCCAGCCTGGAACTCAGCACATACATCAGGCTGGTATATCAGCTTTGAACTCATGGAGACCCTCCTGCCTCTGTTTCCTGAGGGCTGAGATGAAAAGTAAGGCCCACCGTGACAGCATAATCAGTATTTTTAAGAAAAGATGTACTTTATCTTTTAAGTTAGTGTGTGTAAGTGGGCCTGTCTTCCAATTCCCACCAGCAATCTTCTGAGCAGTGCATCTGGCACGACGTGAAGTTGGCTGCAAGCCTGGACAGACACAGCCACCACAGAGCAGCCACTGCTCTGCTGGGAGAGACACAGGGACAGAAAGTCACATTCAATATCACCAATATCAGATACCTGTGTAGGAGGGGCTGTCCTGGTTATCCAGCTGGAACTTTATAAGTAGCCTGAAAATTCCCCTACAAAAACAAAGACAAAAATCTGTATTAGTCAATGTGAGTAAGAATGTCAAATATGCCTTTTGTTCCTTTCTCCAGGAAATCATATCCTCACAGGAAAAAGAGCTTTTCTTACCTAGGAAAATGTGCTTGGGAATACATGCATGTGCACGTGAGTGTGTGTGCGTGTGCGTGCACACACACACACACACACACACACACACACACACACACTCTATAGTAAAACCTGAGGGGGTTGGCTGATACTTCAGAAGACGGAACGGGGTGGCTCGGGCAGTGCCAGCCTCTATCCTACACTGGGTAAGGTAGCAGAGGCCCTTACTCCCAGAACTCAGCAGCATAAATAAGCAATTAAATCACTGTTTTTTTCCAGGAAAACTGGACCCTATAAGAGGGTCCAGGGCGGCAGAGACTACACAGGGAGACACAGACTAAGAACCAAACGGAGAGCCTCTGGCGGGGCAACAGCAAGCTCGCACCTCACACACAAGAAAACAAGCACTCCGAGTGTCTCTGTGTTCACAACTCAGACATTTCTCTTCAGAAACAAAACAGCTGCCTGCACGTATGTGCATCATGTACACGCTTCCCCTGGGGCTGAGTCACCATAAGAACCCGAGGAGCTGAAGTCCAAGCATGCCTGCCCTAAACTCCAAGCAAGTCATCTCCCCAGCCACTAACAATTTGTTGAGGAAAAACTATTTTAACTTTATTGGTCAATTTCATGGGCTAATACTGAATACTTCACCTATTGTGCAAACCATTCCTGGTCACTATTTTTATTATCCTTCTTAATCCTTTATAGCAAGCAGGTAGATTTGTTTCTGCCCACTGTTAACTATCAACGTGACACAGCCGAGAGCCACCTGACAAGGGACTCCTAACTGAGGAAATCATTAGCTCACGCTGGCACAGCAATGTCTGTGGGGCAACTGCCTCTACTGCTAAGTCATGTAGGGGCCGGGACTACCGTGGGTGGCACCAGCTCAGGCAGGTGGTAGTGGTTACAACAAACCTAAGCGTGAGCCTGTGAGTGAGTCTCTGCCTGGAGCTCCTGCTTGAATTCTTTCCCTGACTTCCTTCAAAGGTGAACTGTAAGTCAAATAAACCCTGTCTCCCCGAAGCTGTTTTGAGGGTTATGTTGTTTACCACAGCCGCAGGATAAACTAAAGCAGAATCATGATAGACTTGGTAGTCCAGCCTCAGCTGAAGGTATGGACTGGACTGAGGGCTTTGTATGTGTGCGACAAGTCTGTACCACCGATCGTCACTGCCGGTCCTCAAATGGACAGGTTATTTGTTTTTGTAGTGGAGCTGGAAGCTGAATTCAGGAGATTTAGCACACTAAGCAAGTGCTTACCAGGGAGCTGCACTTCTAGCCCTAACTATGTATAGAAGGGTGTGTATCTTTATATATAACTATGTATAAATGGGTGTGTATCTGTATATATAACTATGTATAGATGAGTATGTATCTTTATATATAACTATGTATAAATGGGTATGTATCTCTATATATAACTATGTATAGATGAGTATGTATCTTTATATATAACTATGTATAGATGAGTATGTATCTTTATATATAACTATGTATAAATGGGTGTGTATCTTTATATATAACTATGTATAGATGAGTATGTATCTCTATATATAACTATGTATAGAAGGGTATGTATCTTTATATATAACTATGTATAGATGAGTATGTATCTTTATATATAACCATGTATAAATGGGTGTGTATCTTTATATATAACTATGTATAGATGAGTATGTATCTCTATATATAACTATGTATAGATGGGTGTGTATCTTTATATATAACTATGTATAGATGGGTGTGTATCTCTATATATAACTATGTATAGATGAGTATGTATCTCTATATATAACTATGTATAGATGGGTGTGTATCTTTATATATAACTATGTATAGATGAGTATGTATCTTTATATATAACTATGTATAGATGGGTGTATATCTTTATATATAATTATATTCGTAGCTTTCATTCTTACCGTGCATTGGGGGTGAGGCTTCTTAAGACATGAATCAGAGAACTCAGGGGTAGAGATCCGGACTGTTTCACCAGAAGGGAATTCTCATAGGATGTTTCTTCAGTATAAGGGTGGTATGTAGTGGTTTCATACCAAAGCCAATTATAAAGACTCTGCTTTGCATGATCCCACACTACGGAAGATGACCAAAGCAAAGAGTTACAAATTACGGTCGCGCCATCAGGCTCCGTGAGATCTCACTGCAGCAAAGAGGGAAGAAGCACTTAAAGGAAAAGCACCCAGGCCGGGGATGCAGCCAGGGGGTAGAGCGCTTGGCATAAGTGTACAAGGCTCTGTCTGGTCACACCTCAGTACTGTATTAAATAAAAGTCATGGAATATTTCATTTCTGTCCATTTTTATATGACTCTGTAACTCAAAATCTGCTTCTACTGTCAATCAATATCTTTATCTTTTTGTTTGTTTATTTGTTTTTTGAGATAAGGTCTCATTATGTAGTCCAGGCTAATATCAAATTCACAATCCTTCTGCCTCAGCCTCCCAAGTGCTAAGGTGTTAAGTACGAGGTACCTTACTTGGCTAACACCTGAATCTTTATTTGCACATTAAATACAAATGAAAATATCTCAGCATCATCAATAGTTCTTTTAAAACCTTCATAAGGCAGGCGGATGCCATGGCGCACGGCTTTTACCCCAGCACCGGGGAAGCAGAGGCAGGTGGACCTTGATTTTGAGACAGAAGTGATTTTGAGGCCATCCATGTCTACAAAGTGAGAAAACCTGTCTCGAAAAACAAAAACAAACCAACAAAAACCCCAAACAAACAAAAAAAAAAGCCAAACCGAACTGACAACATTGTAATACCACAAAGAGTGTGGGTCTGCCCTTCCTTATGGAATTTCAGGTGCAAACACACTTCTTTAGTTCTAATTACTCGGGACCACCTTTCGACAAGCTGAAAATTAACTAAAAAACAGTGAGAAAATTTTATAAGCCTAATCTCTCGAGGAAGAAAGAGAGTTACCCGTAACTTACTGAGAGGAGCATGGAGGTGGTCGATGGAAGCTATAAGGTACATGTTATGCAAAGATGACAGCTGGCCCAGAATTTGCTGGCTATTGTCTCCTCTCAACATCTGGCTATCCAAATTGTGGATAAGAAGAAAGAGTTCTAGAGAAGAATCTAAAAGGAAAGGGAACTCAGTTATTTCCAGTGAGGGTTATCACGTCCTCAGCACACACACTGCCTAGGGATTAAACGCTGTTCTATACGTGAGCAGCAAAACTTAGCACAGTCACAGACGTGTGATAAAATAACCGAACAATATCTGGAGCTGGGAAGGTGGCTCAGTTGGTAAACTGCTTATGAGGACCTGAGTCCAACCCTCAGCACCCATTCAAAGAAAGGAGGTACAAACACAGAAACCTGGGGGTAGCAACTTGCACTCGTCCCCTCAGGGGCTGAGAAGCGGAGGCTGAGAGGCGGGTCCTTCGGGTCGCTGGTCAGCCAGATGGGGCAAATCCTTAGCCTGTTATAGTGAGACCACCGCCCCACACACGCCAAGACAGACTAAGAAAGAACTGCATGCCAGCCCCTGTCTCCATATGCACAAGTACAGCCATGCATGCTCATTTCTGCCCCCACGAATGATGTGGGAGTGATTTCTTATTAATAAAGAAACTGCCTAGACCCATTTGATAGGCCAACCCTTAGGTAGGCGGAGTAAACAGAACAGAATGCTGGGAGAAAGAAGCTGAGTCAAGGAGTCGCCATGATTTTCCCACTCCATGCAGACGCAGGTTAAGATCATTCCTGGTAAGCCAGCTTGTGGAGCTACACAGATAATTAGAAATGGGCTAGTCCAGGTGCGAAAGTTAGCCTAGAAGAGGCTAGATAGAAATGGGCCAAGCAGTGTTTAAAAGAATACAGTTTCCATGTAATTATTTCGGGTAAAGCTAGCTGTGTGGGCTGCCGGATGCCGGGGACGCAGCCCGCCGCTCCTATTGCAACACACGAACAAACATATGCACACAATACTGAACAACATAAAATTGTCAGACAAAGACGTACAAAGCTGCTACAGGCACATCACACTGACAGTTAATTCATAGAACAAATCACTACAACAGGAAAGATAAATTATTTTAAAGAAATCTAAATTGACATTGACTAGAGCATCCATACTAAAATAATATTCATCTTTCTGTTCAGAATTCCACAAATACAGAAATGCAATGTAACTTCACCCTAAGTCCTACAGATGATTACTTCAGGTTACCTTCTTTAAACTTGTTTATTATCCAGTCTCGCTGATCTGGAACACTCTGGAAAGTACCCATATGACCGAGAACATCTTCAGTTATAGAATTCAGGATCTACATCACAGAAGTGCAAGAGGGACCATATCAACTGCAGTTTATTCTGTCACATATGATAAATACAATTAGCAAATTAATTTTTCACAAGTTAAAAATGATTTTGAGTTTCTCATAAAGTTTAAAAAGTACTGAAAATTCCATTGGGCATTTAAGTATATCTATTTTATTTTCTTCTCCTTTGTTTTCTTTAAATACACTAATGCTAACAGGAAAAGGAAAGAATAATAATGTGAAAAAATGATGTAAGAGGGCAGGAAAAAATAACCAGTAAAAAAGCCTGGTGGAAGTGTGAACGTGAGCCAGGGACGGTGGCGCACACCTGCCGTCCAGCACTGACACACAGGCAGCGCTCCGTAAACTCAAAGCTAGCCTGGTCTACACAGGGAGTTCCAGGACAGCCTGCTGTACAGAGAGACCCTGTTTTGAAATAACCAAAGGACAGGGAGGGGGGCAACTATCAACGTCAAAAGAAATGATACCCACACAAGGATGCTAAAAACAGGACACTATGTTGGCTAATACCCAATATCCAAAACCTTGCTATGATTCTCCTCTGACGTAAAAACGGTCCATAATAAATGTACTGTAAAACTATCTGCTGCCATCTATACTTCACATTTCTGTACCACAATGACACAAAACTACAATAAACTACAGATTCTGACTCTCAGCTGCTCCACTAGTAACCTGGTGCAGTAAACGAAGGCAACATTTCCTTGAGGCTCCAGAAAGTCAGCTTCTCTGCGAGTGTGCCAACCCGACACCTGCTAAAAGTCAGCTGAGAGGGGTGAGCCTCAAGAGAACACCTCCTTAAGATCCCTCTGGATGGAAGCCTGGAGGGCATGTTGTTAATTAGTGATTAGTGATTAGTAATTAGTCCATTGTGGATGGAGCCATCCCTAGGCTACTGGTCCTGGTTTCTATAAGAAAGCAGGCTGAGCAAGCCACGAGGAGCAGGCCAGTTAGCAGCTCCCTCCATGGCCTCTGCATCAGCTCCTGTTTGAGTTCCTGCCCTGACTTCCTTCAATGATAGACTACGACACATAAATAAGACAAATAAACCCTTTCCTCCACAATTTGCTTTTGGTCAGGTGTTTCGTTACAGCAATAGCAACCTTACCTAGGGCAGTGATTATGTATCTATGTGCTTGTATGGGTAAACATTTCTGTGTGGATACAGGGGAAGGCCATGGGAAAACGTGGGTGCTGTTCTTCAGGTGCTGTCTGCACTTATTTTTATTTATTAATTATCCTTAAAAGGATTTTCCCATTATTTTAAGTCCTAACACATGCTTTGCCCACATGAATGTAAGTGCACCATGTGCATGCAGTGCCCTAAGAGGCCAGAGCGGGTGCTAGACATTATACAGACTAACTGCTATGAAGCCCCACACAAAATCCTTTATATCCAGTGTCCAGAAACAGAAACTGCATCCTTACCACTATAGGGCCATGACTTGGCACAGGACACAATGTCATTCCATGGAAAGTCTGAAACTTACTGATTTCACACTGATCCCAGGAAAGAAGCCGTTGATGACAAGGTGAACAGAATCCTGAAGCATGGTGGTTCGAAACTTTTCTAGTAAGTCTCTCTTGGACCCCAAGCCATAAAGCACAATGTTGAACCCGAGGCTGTGAGGAAAGGGAACATCCATAAAGTTAAAGTTTAAGACTTCGGACTGCTAGCTTCGTCATCAATCAGCTCAAGGTGATTGCAGGAAGAAAAGCATAAGAGAATGAATAATGAAAGTAAAAGCCAGATATGTGGTGTCACCTATAGTCCCAGCACTTGGGAGACAGAGGCAGGAGAATTGCTGTTCTCTTGGAGTCAGCCTGGTTTACAAAACAAGTTCAGGCTAGCCAGGGCTACACATGAGACTCTGCCTCATGAAGATGAAGATAAATGGATAAAGTAAAAGTACAGAAAGTACAGGAAGAACAACTAGGACATCCACACGGTGAAATTGTGGGTTCCCAAGAACACAGCAAAGACACCACTCACTATCTATATGAGGGCTCACAGTTCCAGCTTGTTTGGCAGCTTTCTCTGCAGGTGGAGGTAAGAGTGACTATTGCCAATACTATAACATGGCTCAGCCTTTAATCCCAGCACTCGGGAAGGAGAGGCAGGTGGAGCTCTGTGAGTTCGAGGCCAGCCTGGTCTACAGAGCTAGTCCCAGGCTCCAAAGCTACAGAAAAACACTGTCTCAAAATCAAAACAACAAGAAGAAACAAACAGGTAAATGGTCACAAACCACTACCACACCTGTTGCAAATGATGTTTCAGCACAGACACATCCATACTATTCCTCACTGTGCAGGTGTGCAGGGATAACACTGTAGCATCCATTTATATACACACTATTCCTCACTGTGCAGGGTGTGTAGTAATAATACTCACTGTAGCTGGAGCATCCATTTGTGAAACAACTTCTCATGCTGTTGGTTTAACTGTTCAATTTCAGCAGAAAAGGAAGGTGAAAATTTGCTCAATAAATTACGCAGAGTTTTCTTTAAAAAAAGAGAGAGGAAGTTATTAATGAGGATACTGACTTAAATCAGGTATAGGAATTAGTAAACCAACAATATAAAAAATTCTTTAGTGGGGCGGTGGTGATGCACACCTTTAATCCCAGCACTCAGGAGGCAGAGGTAGGTGAATCTCTGTGAGTTCAAGGTGAGCCTGGTCTACAGAGTGAGTTCTAGGACAGTGTGGGCTGTTACACAGAGAAACCGTCTCAAAAAACCAAAGAAAAAAGAAAAAAAAAATCTTCAAACATAAATTCTTGTTTAATTAAAAGCTGCTTTGAAGATTTGATCACTGTTATGTGTATAACTGTCCTGCAGAGGTCAGAAGAGGGCATCTGGTATCTAGAGTTCTAAGTGTTCCTGAGCTACCAAGTGGGTGCTGGGAGCAATTTGGGTCTGTCAAAGAGGAAGTGCTCTCAATGACTGAATCATGTCTCCAAGCCCTCTTAAAGTTCTTTATTTCAAGTATATAGTAACAATAAAAAATTTTGCTAAGTTTGCCTAGAACCATTTAAATGATTATAACAAACTCCAAATATAAAGCTTTAATTTCTAAAAATATAGTTACTGCAAGATGATCAAACCTGCTTCAAATTCAGACACAAAAACCAACAGTGGCCCCTCCAAGCTGCTCTCAGTGCAGAGCGCTGGTCTGTCAAGTGTGAGGCCCTGAGCGGACCATCAGCACAGTAACTAAAACATAAAACACTGCAAACCTGTAGAGCTGAAAAACTGTAAAAAGGTTTTTGGAAAATATTCAAGTTTCTTTACCACTAGAATGAGGCACAAGTAAAACTATCAGCTTTTAGGTTTTTTTGCTTTCTTTTTTGAGACAGGGTTTCTCTGTGTTAGCCCTAACTGTCCTGGAACTCACTCTGTAGATCAGGCTGGCCTGGAACTCTGTCTCATGAGTGCTGGAATTAAAGGCACGAGCTATTTCTGCCTGCCTGACAAGTGTGCCAGTTTTAACCCTAGGCTCGAAGAGGTCATCGGCTTTCCCACTTCTTAGTCCTTCTCATCATGAGAACAGGCCAGAGAGACCTGGCTGATATTTCCTCGCTGACCCACAGCCATGGAGACAAATGCCTGTGTTCTGCCTGTAATGCTCTTCTCCACCGCCATTAACAAGGCTTCTTACGTTCTCGTAGCAATGATGCACTCAGAGTCTGCCTTTGACCTTAGAGGCACTGATGCTTTTCTCGTGTTGCTTATATAAAACAGACGGCAAATGCTAGTGTCATTTCTTTCCTGGAAAAGGTCTTTTTACTTATTTATTGCACGTGTGTGTTCATGCGTGTATATGAATGGAGGTACATTTCCATAAGCATGTGGAATCCGAACAGTGGCACCTTCCTCAAACACTCTCCACCTTTGAATGTTTATGCACCACATGTGCTCATGGTGCCCGAAGATGCCAGAATAAAACTTCAGATCCTTTGACCTAAAATACAGGTAGTTGCTAGGCAGATAATATGGGTGCTGGAAACTGACCCGGGGGCCTCTGTAACAGCAGTGCTCCAAACTGTTAGGCCATCTCTCCAGTCCCTTGTCCTTATTTTTTGATAGGAATTCTTTCATTTTCTTTTTAAAATTTCTACTTTATTATTTTAATGTGTATGTGATGTGTACGTAAGAACTGAGATACAGGGCCATCATGGCACACCTGTAAACCAGGAACATTTTCTTCTTGGCTTCAAATTATTAACCCTACTGTGCCGTTTAGATTTTTGTTGTTTCTTTATTGGGGGAGATATATCCAGGTAAGATGTACATGGGGGCTAAAAGAGGGTATTGGGTCTCCTGGAGCTAGAGTTACAGGGGGTTGTGAATCCCGTGGGTGCTGGGAACTGAACTTTGGTCCTCTATAAGAATGGTACATATGCTGGGTGGTGGTGGTGCCACCTTTAATCCCAGCATTTGGGAGGCAAAGGCAGGTGGATCTCTGTGAGTTCCAGGCCAGCCTGGTCTACAAGAGCTAGTTCCTGGACAGGCTCCAAAGCTACAGAGAAACCCTGTCTCAAAAAAAAAAAAAAACACCCATACTTTGAACTCCAGAGCCATGTTTCCAGCCCTTAAGCGCTAGTGAAAGTCTGTGGCTCAATGGTTATGTCCTATGTTAAGGGAGGCTATTGGTCCAAATGCCAACAAGGACAGACACACTGGATTTTTGTAGCATGAGCTATTGGGAAAACAGTGCAAGGCTGCCCTGCTACCTTACTGCGCTCTGCAAAGCAGCAAGGAAGACAAGCTCCATACTTGTCAAATAGAATTCTAGTTGGATTATTTACAATTTATGCAATAAATATTTAATGACCTCAACACATTAATTTGTGCTTTATTTCACCAGAGAACTAATTCTCCTGCTCGCTTCTTCTCCAAGTGTACTGCTAATGTATGTTCAGGTCACAGTAAACGAATGTCGGTGATAGCTTACCTGATCCACTTTTGCTCTCCTCAGCTTCTGCAGGGTTCTGTCAGACGTTAAAACTTTTGAACTGCTGTGGGCTTCAAAATATTCTTCTACCAAGTCACTCTGAAATAAACAAAGTAATGGCAGGTCTAAGTAATTTCACGTATGTATACTGCATAAAATTTAGATGGCAATATAGTTAAAATTGGGCTCAGGAAATCCTCCTGCCTCAGCTTCCCAAACAGCTGGGAAAGAGAGGTGTATGTTAACATGCCTAACTAAAATACCTTATCTGACAGTATTTTTTTAAAAACCAGGTCAAGAATCAAAGATATTTAATCCCAACAATAAGTTCAAGTAACTGATGAAAATATAACTTGAAAGATAGATTGATTGGAAAGGCTGTGGTGGTGGCATATGCCTTTAATCCCAGTACTTGGGAGCAGAGGTAGGCGGATATCTGAGTTCAAAGTCAGTCCAATCTCCATACAGGACAGGCAGAGATATGTAGTAGAGAGACTATGTATGTTATGGTACTAATCAAGAATAAGCACCCAGAACTGAAAAGAAAGCCCAAAGACAGAAACGAGTATGTGTGGAAATTCATGTGTAAAGCTAAGAAAATAAGGAAGGTGAGGGCTGATCTCTGCTGTAGACCTGCCCGTTTCAGGCACACAGTTCCCCTGGAGGCCCCAGGCTCCGTCTTCACTCACGGCTTTGTCTCTTTTCATCTTCTTAGGCGGCGTCCCCTTGGGAGCAAGAGCTGGGGGTCCTCTGCTCTGAGCTGGGCCCTTTTGGGACAGCCCGACGGCAGTGGTGTCCTCTTCTCCATCATCCTCCGAGCTGGAGGCGGAGTATTCACTCTCGGTGTCACAGTGAGACGCGGGCACTGCAGAAGAAGCGGAGGAATCGGGGAGACTCAGCGGTTTGAAAGGAGAGCTATTTGAGGAAAATCAAACATGTGGGCTTTCAAGTAAGGGACTATTTATTTATTTATTTTATTATGTGTGCATTGGTGATTTCCCATGGGTGCCTGGCCCTTGGAATTAGTTACAGAATTGTGAGCTGCCATGTGGGTACAGAGAATTGAACCCAGGTTCTCTGCAAGAGCAATCAGTGTTCTTAACCCCTCAGTCATCTCTCCAGGACCCAAAGTAAGAGACTTTTAATTACAATTTTGTCATTGCTTGTTCATTTTTTCACAGCTAATTATACATATTCTCTAAGCACTAGCTTCTTCAATTATCACATGAGGGTAAGCATAGCTAAATAATCTACTGGAAAATTATATATTTATACGAATCATTTGTGTGTGTGTGTAATGAATACTCCTGTGTGAACGTGTGGGGTTGGCATGTATTTGTGTAGTGTGTGTAATGAATACTCCTGTGTGAACGTGTGGGGTTGGCATGTATTTGTGTGTGTGTGTAATGAATACTCCTGTGTGAACGTGTGGGGTTGGCATGTATTTGTGTAGTGCCCATCTATGCACGTACACACAGAGGCCTGACGTTGATCAAGTGTCTTGATCCCTCACAATACAGGCAGGTTCTCCTGCTGACCCCGGAGCTTGCCAGCTTGCTCAGGGGATACTGCCTTAGCTAGCGTGCATGCTGGAGTCACAGACGGGCTCTATGCCTACCTGTTTCTCTGTGGGTCCTGTTATTAGAACTCTTATTCTCATGTGAGATACTTTCCCTAAATTATTCGTGTAGAAACGTTTCTAACACACCCTGCTCGACCCCACAGCTGATTCACAAGCCACTGTCACTCCCACCAGCCTCCCAGAAACAAGAGCTCATCTTTTACTGCCAAATAAAGGTATCGCCAGCTTTATACCCAACAATCAGCACAGAATTACGTCTGGGGGCTGAGAGATGGCTCGGTGGAGAGGAGCACAGCCTGCTGTCCCGGAGGATCTGAGCCGGAGCACCAGCACCGCGTCAGGAGGCTGACAGCTGCCTATTGTCATAACTCCTGACCCCTCTCACATCTCTGACCTCTGTGGGACTCGCATTCATGTGCACACATAATTAAAATAATAAAAATAAATCTTTAAAAAACTGTTTGACTCCCAAAATACTGGTAACTTTAACCAGGTCAGTTGTTGACTGTGAATGACAAAAGGTTTCCTAGGATTGTGCAGAGTTGGTATATAACACAAAGGCATATTAACTCTGTGGGTGTAGACACGGCCTACAGTCTAGAAAACGGGTCACTCTGTGGGTGTAGACACGGCCAAAGAGTCTGGAAAACAGGTCACTCTGTGGGTGTAGACACGGCCAAAGAGTCTGGAAAACGGGTCACTCTGTGGGTGTAGACACGGCCTACAGTCTAGAAAACGGGTCACTCTGTGGGTGTAGACACGGCCTACAGTCTAGAAAACAGGTCACTCTGTGGGTGTAGACACGGCCAAAGAGTCTGGAAGCACCAGTTTCCTTTCTCATATGAAAAGTGGTAGAAATGAGAGCAGGAACTGCTACCCTGATTACACTGGGACCAAAGGCTTAAAACACAAGCCAGAACTTGTATACTTTACCACTATTGATCCTGATTTATTTCTTTAAAGATTTATATATTTATTATGTAGAAAGTGTTCTGCCTGCATACCAGAAGAGGGCACCAGATTTCATTACAGATGGTTATGAGCCACCATGTGGCTGCTGGGAATTGAACTCATGACCTTTGGAAGAGCAGCCAGTGCTCTTAACCTCTGAGCCATCTCTCCAGCCCCTGATTTAGTTGTTAATTTTTATATACATATATTTTTTTTAAAAAAAACCCTCATATTGTTAGTTATGCCTGTAATCTTAACATTTGGATGACTAGGAGTTCAAGGCCAGTCAGATCTACAAAGTGAATATGAAGCTAGCCTGGGCTATATAGATCTTGTCTCAAAAAAACAAAGCAAGCAAAACTTCACATAAAAAGAAATACATACCTATTATTCTTTTTCTTAGACTACGAGGTGGTGTTGACAGGAATTCAGTTTTGCTATTGTTCTGTTTAAAATGTAAAAAGCACAGTAAGTAATATGAATAATAATATTTTAATGAATAATCAATCATAGAAATAAAAAGAAATTCTAAGAAAGAAAACTATGCTGAGCTAGATGAGTCTGTAGTTCCTAACACTGGACCACAATAACAAATGAATCTGCTGAAATATAAAGAGAAATATACAAGTTCTAGGGCTGGACAAGCCACCGCTGGCAGGAGACACAGAGCCTGCGTCTCTGTCTAAAACATCCTCCCCAGCCCCTTCAGCCTCCCTTGTTCTACTCTTTCTGTCTGCTCTTGCTTCCGCCCCATCATGCCACGGGAACCCTTGTTTCTGCGTCTACTTCTCAGCTGCTGTGACACAAACAGGAGAGATGATGGCTCAGTGGTTAAGAGCCCCGGCTAAGAGGTTCCAAGTTCCAGTAACCATCTAAAATGATCCAGTGCCCTCTTCTGGCACCAGAACACTGCACACATAATACATAAATAAAACTTTAGAAAGCCCCCATGTGCTCACACATTGGAACACTTGGTCACCAGGGAGTAGGGGCTCACGTGGCCTTCAAAAGGCCTCCTCTCCCACCATGTCAGAGTCTGAGGATCTCATGATCCCTATTACCCTCACAGTCACTTAGACGGAGAGGTAGAGGAGGGGATGATCAAGAGATGTCCTAATGTAAAAGAGAAGGGAAAAACCAAGAGTTTGAACAATTCCTTCTGTTTTTCTAACATCTCCCTTTGGTCTTATACCCAGACAACTATTTATCATTGGTTCAACCCACAGACATTGAAAAGAAAAGTCTGATACTTTCCTACACTTGAGCCTGGCCTAAGTTTAAACTAAAAGATAAAAAGTGACCTCACCTCCTTACCTAAATCAAAGAACAAGGCTCTTCCTCTTTGACTCTTCCTGAGAGCTGCCAAGATTTTCAACTTGCCTGTCTTTTCCTTCCTTTAAATATTACTTATTTATTTAATATGCATGTGTTTAAACATACTTGTACATGTGGAGATCAGAGAGCACCTTGCAGGGTCAACTCTCCTCTACCATGTGAGTTCCAGGGACTGAATGGACTCAGATCATCAGGTCTAGTTTGTATTTTGTGTATGGATGTTTGTCCGCATGTCTGTCTGTGCACCACATGTGTGCCAAGAGCACTCGGAAGCCAGCAGAGGGCACCAGAAATCCTCTTAATGCAGTTACAGATGGTTGCACTGCCATGGGGGTTCTGGGAACTGAACCCAGATCCTCTCTGGAAAAGCAGCCAGGCCTCTTGAATGCTGATCCATCTTCAACCCTCATGATGTTTTTCTTATAAATTCTAATAAAACAATCCTTGAGCTTCCCTCTGATTTCATTCACAAATTCTTTATTTATTTAAATTTTGTTTAGATTTATTTTATGTGCATTGGGCTTACATGTATGTATATGCACTACGTATGTGCCTGGTGACCATGGAGGTTAGAAAGAGTGTCAGATCCCCTGGGTGGTAAGCTGTCACACGGGTACTGGAAATCAAACCTGGGTATTCTACAAAAGCAACAGATGCTCTTAATTGCTAAGCCAAACTCCCAGCCCCTTAAATTCTTTTATTAACAAGGCCAAGAACCAAAAAAAAGAGTCTCAGTTCCCTAGTAACAGCACCTAACGCAGGGCACTCTGAAGTTCCTGGTATTATCAGGTGCTCCTTCCCATCTACTTACTTATAACATATATTACATATAATAAGTATTATTTATGTGTGTGTGCACCACACGGGTGCAGGAGACTGAAGAGGTCAGAAGAGGTCATCAGACAAATACCCAGGAATTGAAGCTGTGAGCAACATTATCCACGTTGTGGGCGCTGGGAACTGAACGTGGGTCTTTAGTAAGAGCAGTTGAGGGGGCTGGAGAGATGGCTCAGCAGTTAAGAGCACTGGCTGGTCTTCCAGAAGACCCAGGTTCAAATCCCAGCACCTACATGGCAGCTCACAGCTGTCTGTAACTCCAGTTCCAGGGAATCTGATACCTTCACACCAATGTACATAAAAAAATAAAGTTAAATAAATTATATAAAAAAAAAAGAGCAGTTGAGTGCTTTTACCCCCATTTCATTTTATTAAAGCACGGGTACATCTTACTACAGTTATTCTAAGGTTAAGAATTGGAATAATTGATATCTATATAGCTAACTTATCAAGTCTGAGAATTTGTAATATCCTTATCAAAATAACTTTTGAAAAATCCCAATCAAACTCACAAAATTCCTAGGCCAGTTCTACTAGTGAAAAACACCCAGGACAGCTGTGACACAGCAGAACCCACGACAGCTACGTGCAGGACACCTGGGCTGATTTTCCAGCTTTATTCCAAGTGAGATGAACTGAGTAAGTCATTTCATCTTTCTGAAACTCAAAGCCTTCATAAGTCAGGTCTACAGCTGATAAACGCCCACAACTATAACATTCAATTTATACTAAGAGAGGAAAAACTACTGCCGGTCGAGTCTCGTTTGGGCTGATCTGTCAGTGCTTACCTCCTGCTGAACTTTCTCTGAAGTAGAATGCCCTAAATGAAAGAAAAACCACATTCACTACAAACATTCCATTTTGGGTCGTGCCTCGTTCTGTCGAAAGCAAAGCAGTACTTATCACACACAGGCCACCGTACTTTACCGGTCCCACCTAACTACAGGCTGATGGTCACTAAGGATCTCGTGCCTGCCCTCCCCCGGACAGCGGTTTGTGGCATTCTTGCACGGTACCATTCTGGCAAGGAAACAAATTCCTCGTTTTGATTAAAAAGTAGACTGTCTATCTTGGTTGGAACAGGTCATTCAAAAATAGATGTTCCGTGATTTACAACAAGCTGTTCAACTAGAAACTCCCAAAGTCTCATTTCACAGTATGTGCCCAAGCCACCTGTTCCACGAGAAACTGGCTGACTCAGATAAACAAGTATGGAACTTCAGGGTGGTTTTCAGTGTCCCGGTCAATTCTCACGTCAGGTGCACAGGCGACTTTGTGCATCTGATACTGATGCTTTGTTGTTGATAAATATAGACACATTAAAATTGGTGGGATTTTAAAAATTACAATCTGTTGAATGAATGTTCAGAGAAAAGAATTTGTGAAAATTCACTAAGATTTAAGAAGAGGAGACGCAAAGATCACGCTAATGCAACTGTGAAAGCTCTTCAAAGAAACGTGACAGCGTCCTACCCTTGCTCTGCCGAGGGACGTTCTTCTTAACGTCAGGATCATTCTTTGAGTCAACCGCAACAACTTTTCTTGGCGTTTTTGCTAGTTCTAAAGCTGTAATCAGAGAGGAAAATACCTTTGTTGAATAGCACATAAAGAGGGAAGGAGCTTTTACTCACAGGGGCTCTTTAAACAAAACCTGCATGTTACTTTATCATAAAGAGAAGTAAATCTTCTTCTTAAGTATTAAGTATTAAGAGTACAGATAGCTGAGAGATGGTGGCGCACACCTTTAATCCCAGCACTCGGGAGACAGAGGCAGGCAGATCTCTGTGAGTTTGAGGTCAGCCTGGTCTACAGAGTGAGTTCCAGGACAGCAAGGGCTACATAGGGAAACCCTGTCTCAAAGAACAAAAAAAAACAAAAAACAAACAAAAAGAAAAAAGAGTACTGCTTCTTAAAAAAGCTTTAAGCTGTCTTTTTTATCTTTAAAACAATTACACTTACTCATCTGTGTGTGTGTGTGGATATATGCACCCAGTATGCACATGCACAAGTCAGAGAAGGCAGTATTCTCTTCACAAACATGGGTCCTGGAGATCAAACTCAGCCTGACACGTTTCATGACAAGTGCTTTTACCTGATGAGCCGTCTAACCCTTCCTAGCATCTAAATCTCCCAATCATGCAGAAATTTCTCATAGCATAACAGAAACGACTGCTCTATTCAGTACCAGCTGATGATATTCATCCTCCTCCTTCCTTGACGTGTTCGTTGTGATCTCCTCCCTTTTTTTTGAGACAGGGCCTCATTTTGCAGCTTTGGCTGCCCCAGAACTCGCCCTGTAGACCAGGCTGGCCTCAAACTCACAGAGATCCGCCTGCCTCTGCCTCCTGAGTGCTGGGATTAATGGTGTGCACTATGTCTGGCTTTCCTTCCTTTTCTTATATAAAGTGTAGCCATGACCTCCTAAGGTGATGCATGGGAAGGAGCTGGATCAAAAAACCAAGTAAAAACTATATACAAGTTAAAATTCTGAAATTTCTAAGAGTGGTGCTCTTGTATTTAAAGCTATACATACGGACGATTCATAAACTATAATACGATCTTGAGCAGAGTGGTGCTCTTGTATGTAAAGCTATACATGTGGAAGATTCATAAACTATAATATGGTCTTGAGCAGAGTGGTGCTCTTGTATGTAAAGCTATACATGTGGAAGATTCATAAACTATAATATGGTCTTGAGCAGAGTGGTGCTCTTGTATGTAAAGCTATACATGTGGAAGATTCATAAACTATAATATGGTCTTGAGCAGAGTGGTGCTCTTGTATGTAAAGCTATACATGTGGAAGATTCATAAACTATAATATGGTCTTGAGCAGAGTGGTGCTCTTGTATGTAAAGCTATACATGTGGAAGATTCATAAACTATAATATGGTCTTGAGCAGAGTGGTGCTCTTGTATGTAAAGCTATACATGTGGAAGATTCATAAACTATAATATGGTCTTGAGCAGAGTGGTGCTCTTGTATGTAAAGCTATACATGTGGAAGATTCATAAACTATAATATGGTCTTGAGCAGAGTGGTGCTCTTGTATGTAAAGCTATACATGTGGAAGATTCATAAACTATAATATGGTCTTGAGCAGAGTGGTGCTCTTGTATGTAAAGCTATACATGTGGAAGATTCATAAACTATAATATGGTCTTGAGCAGATGGCTGCTTCTTTGCTGCAGCACCAAATGAAACAGTTGATTTTAGGTGGCATTTTAAATAAAACATCTGTCCAATCTTTATCTCTCACCGGGACAAGCACGCGGAGAACGAGCCTACCTGAGGGAATGAATTTATCGTACTTCCTTTTCAGATGTACCATCATCACCCTTAGGTAAGCATGTGCACATGTATGTGAGTGCACATTTATCGTACTTCCTTTTCAGATGTACCGTCATCACCCTTAAGGTAAGCATGTGCACATGTATGTGAGTGCACATTTATCTTACTTCCTTTTCAGATGTACCATCATCACCCTTAGGTAAGCATGTGCACATGTATGTGAGTGCACATTTATCGTATTTCCTTTTCAGATGTACCATCACCACCCTTAGGTAAGCATGTGCACATGTATGTGAGTGCACATTTATCGTATTTCCTTTTCAGATGTACCGTCATCACCCTTAGGTAAGCATGTGCACATGTATGTGAGTGCAGACGCCCACAGCAGAGCTACAGGTAGCGTGAGTCACCTGACGGGCGTACGGAAACAACCTGGGTCCTCCACAAAGGCCGTACACACTTGTAACTCCTGAGCCACTTCTCCAACCTATTTCTTTTATTCTTTAAGTGGAGAACGTGTATCTGTATTTATTTTAGGCCATCTTACTGGCCCATATGCCCTTCCTAGCTGTTAGAATTTTCAAGATCTTCTGATCTTAAAATTTAGCTGAGATATTCCACAAGCACTTCTTTTTTAAATTTCCTGACCTTAATTTCCCATGACTTTTCAACTTATCCAAATATAAAATATAAAACATATACACCCTTGCTTAATATTCAGGCCCTCCCTTATCTCTCCCCTAAAATGTCTCCGTAGATTCGATTCTCCAATCCATGCTCATCCATCCCCGGACTGCAGAAATGTGAATGGATGTTTTCAATTCAGTACCCTGCCTCCTGTAATTTTAACAAATTTCTATCAATTCTTCAAAACTGGCATTGCCCCCTTTCATGACTCAACCCCAAAGAATACCTTTCTACTTTGAGCAACCGTAGCTTATACACAACTCTACGGAGACTGGGTAGGAATAGAACAGTCCAGGCTTTGAAATCTAAACTGGCTCTGCCATGTATCTGTGGGTTTAATATACATCATAGGCTCCCGTAAACAGACAGATAGATAGATAGATAGATAGATAGATAGATAGATAGATAGATGTATATACGGAACACGGCTCAGACCCTGGCATACAGTACTTGGTCAACAATAACTTCTACTGTTATTATGGAAATGACTTTCTTTTTAAGTAAGAGCAGCTCAGGAAGTCTTTGAACTCTCTGCCCTCTAAGAACCACTTATCCCAGCATTCTTCCAGGGAATACAGCAGAAGGTAATCACAGGAACGTGGTGCTGGCCTACCTTGACCGCAGGAAACACCAGAGTGACATACCTAATTTGGTCATTTCTTCAGAATGTTTTCTGGATTGAAAAGAATAAACTTTATTCCCATCTACAGCAGAGCCATTTTTCAAGGATTCTGTAAAAGAAAATGCAGGATGCAATGAGGAAAAAGGAAGATTGAGAAAAAAGATAAAACTTTAAATAGCTAAAAATCTAAAAGTTATACCCCCTCACTTCCTTTCATACAAGTTTACCAGCAGAAGCCAAACAGTGGTGGCGCACGCCTTCAATCCCAGCACTCGGGAGGCAGAGGCAGGCGGATCTGTGAGTTCCAGGACAGGCTCCAAAGCTACACAAAGAAACCCTGTCTTAAAAAACAAAAACAAGTTCACCAACAGATATTTACGTACAAAATACTTCTATATACACGACAAGGAAAACCGGCTAATCTTGTTTATTTAATCATTAACACAAGAAACATGCTATTTATAGATACAATGATTTTTTTCCAGACTGGAGAGCTTAAAACAAGAGGGTAAAACTGTGAGTTGAAAAGGGCTGATAATGTATGTAAGGCTATCTTCACTAGTTTTCTGTTACCCTAGTAAACAAAACCCATGGGCTGGAGAGATGAGCTTCTTCCTCTTCTAGAGGAGCCGAGTTCCCAGCACCTGCATCAGGATCCAAAGCCCTCTGCAGGCCCAAGGACACACACACATACACATAAAGTAAATCTTCAAAAAGAAAATAAAATCTCTAAAGCAAGAAACTTTATAAATACAAGGTGTTCATTTTCCTGGAGAAGGAACTAGCATGTCACACACACAGAAAGTCAGGACGCTTGTGAGCGATCCAGGAGGCGTGCTCATGTTTTTATAACCAGCTCTTTCAGAAACTGTCTTAATTCATTCTAAAGATAAGTATAGCACTGTTCAGTCTAATGCTGTGTCTCCCGAGGCAGCACACATCGGGTGACTTAACTCCTAGTAGACCTTAGCAGAGCTCAACATCACCACCTTGGATACCACACTTCCAATGCATAAACCCCTGGGGACAAACCACAGCAAGTGTTCTTATAGAACAGACTTTTTTCTTTCCTCTTCCTAAAGATTCTGTGTTAGAGCTGGATGTGGGGGCATGGACCGACAATTCTAGCCCCTGGGAGGAGACAGGGTGGTCAGTAGTTTAAAACCAGCCTATGCCACATAATATCAAGTGTCGAAATGCCCATGGAGGAAATGAAAGATCCTTGGTTAGATGCCCTGTGTTCTAAAACTCAGGCCAGTGACATGGTTCAGTGGGCCAAGAACCTGACTGATCACTGGGACCCACATGTGGGAAGGAATCGACTCCCCAAAGTTGCTGTCTGTGGTGAGCTCAAAGCCAGCGTGGGCCATGAGATACTCTGGCTCAGAAATGAATGGATAAATACATAAGGTGGGCGGGAGTTGTGGAAGATGCCCAACACTGTCCTCTGACCTTCCGACACACACATATAAATAAATATAACTAAAAAGCTGGGAGGCTGGAGAGGTGGCTCAAGGGTTAAGAGGAGAGTGTGTGCTGCATTGCACAGGACCGCACGTGGGGCTGCTCACATCATCCTGTAAGCCTAGCTTCCCGAGGGATCCAATGGTGCTGGCTTCTAGGGACACCTACACTACAGAGGTGCATGCACACAAACACTCAATTAAAAAATAATAAATCTTTGAAAATATCGACATACAAAATAATGCAAATTTATATGTGCAAATGGCAAATAGAAAGCACACACTGCAATAATTCCATCTTCTCTGAAGTGAAGTGAGCATTTATTTATTTACTTACTTTTGTGCTAGCGATTAAACCTAGAGCCTCAAGCATGGTGTTCAGTGCTCTATTACTGAACCGTACTCTCAAATCTTTCTTATTTTTTGAGACACGTCTTACCACCCCGGCTAGGTTGGCCCTGAACTCATTAGGCAGTGCAACCAGGCCGCGTGGTCCTCCCGGCTCAGGCTCCTCAGTGGCTGGGGTTAAAACTCTGTGCCACCAGTCTAAGCTAAGGAGGCATTAGCAAGGGAAATGTGAAAAAAATCCTTGGTATTACAAAATCTATGGCCTTGAAATAATCACATTACAAAAGCAGATATACAGCAACAAGGAATGCAACATTGTCACGGATGGGAACAATTGTCAGGAAACAGGGAAAGGGGAAGTAGCAGATGAGAGAAACAAAACATAAAAAATACAGGAGATAATGGACAAAGAACGAGGACATCTTCCCAAAATACAGAGAAATTAAAGACAAGGTCACATGTATTAGGCACTGATCCTCCAATCTAATCAGGACCTGTGCGGGGCAGGGGAAATTGGTTAGAGTCCTGCAGTTAAGCCTTGCCCTTAGTCTGAAACATCATCAGGACATATACCAATATTATGATCTGCAGGAAGTACTCTTACATGGAAAAAATATATAAAATAATGATCTCATTATGATATCTGTAGATCTCATTATGCCTTGCTCTTGTTCTCCATCCCTGAGTATCGTTTTCAGTCTCTGAGGCTAACACAAGCAGTCATAAATTCGACCAAGAATGCACCCCGGAAGTGTCAGCTGCTTAGTCGGGAATACTCACTAAACCTTCTGAGGGACAGAGGCTCACTGAGCTCAACTAAATTTGGGCTCCTTGAAAATCCAGAATAGAGTTGGTATTCCAGGCCTGTTTTTCCAGCTACTCAGAAGACCAAGTTGCTTTTGTACATCCTGAAAAGCAGTTCCCCGCTGAATACCTTGAATATTTCTTCCCAAAACTTCCACGTAGTTCTGATCCTTTAGGACTTCCTGGTCACTCTTCTCCAGTTCACATTCTGGCTTCTTTATTATTTTCTGAGGATTGACCAAAAGCTGAGCTTTCTCCTTTTTTATTTTAGTTCCTATAAAAATATATATAATATAAGAGTTACGAATTTTCTTTTTTCTTATTTTGTTTTGTTTGTTTTTTGAGACAGGGTTTCTCTGTAGACCAGACTGGCCTTGAACTCAGAGAGCTCTGCACACCTCCGCCTCCTGCAGAGTGCTTGTTTTTACGTCATGCGCCACCACCGCCTGGCGTGAATTACACTAGAGTCACCCAGACGGCTCCGCAGATAAAATGTGCGCCACGCCTGATGGAATGCACAGGGGCAAAGAGATCCATGTCCAGAGCGCTGTCCTCTGACCACCATGTGCATGCTACACGTCACCACGCGTGTGCTACATGTCACCACGCATGTGCTACATGTCACCACGCGTGTGCTACACGTCACCACGCGTGTGTTACATGTCACCACGTGCATGCTGCATGTCACGTGTATGCTACACACGTCACCACGTGTGTGCTACATGTCACCACGTGTATGCTACATGTCACCACGCGTGTGCTACATGTCACCACGTGCATGCTACACATGTCATCACGTGTATGCTACACATGTCATCACGTGTATGCTACATGTCACCACGTGTATACTACATGTCATCACGTGTATGCTACACACGTCACCATTGTCTGCTACATGTCATCACGTGCATGCTACACATGTCAGCAGACAAACTATACCAAATGCACGATTAATAGTATATAAGGCCTCTGGGGGAAGTTACTGTTTTATCTTCCCTTAAACGTGCGAAGTCAGCTGGGCAGTGGTGGCGCACGCCTTTAATCCCAGCACTCGGGAGGCAGAGGCAGGCGGATCTCTGTGAGTTCGAGGCCAGTCTGGTCTACAAAGTGAGTTCCAGGACAGACAGAGAGACCATCTCAAAAAACCAAAACCAAAACCAAAAAAACCCCAAACAACAAAGATGTGATCCATGAGCATCTCTTCAAGTGTGCAAACACACATACCTCCTTCTCTATCGAAAATGTGATTGAGGACATCATCATCGCCCACAAATTGAACAACCAGCACCTTAGCTTCTTCCTTCATCTGTGGGGAGCTCATCATGGCCAACCTAAACAAAGTATAAGTCAGTGTGATGAACAATTCATACCAAATAAACATCGTGGAATGAACACACAGAATTACCTAGTATTTTTAAAGGGGGGCACGTACCACGCACTCTTCCGTGAGTATGTCCTGCGGTAGAATAATTCTCTTGCACACAGTGAAGACTTGTCACTGTGAGCATTTAATAAACAAACTGGCTGGCCCAGGGCTCAACAGGACAGAGGTAGACGGGAAAGCCAAACTGAAAATTATGGGCTAAGAAAGGGCAGAGTCGGGGAGATGCCAGCCAGCCACACTAGAAAATGAGGTAACGAGCCATGGACCATGTGGCAAAGCATAGATAAAAATACAATTGACGTAAATGTAAGAGTTAGGTAGTAACAAGTCTGAGCTATCTGCCGATCGTGTATAAGTAGTATTAAGCCTCTGTGTTGGTTATTTGGGACTGGCGACCGGTGGGGAATGGGTAAAAAACATTGCCTACAACATCCCGTCCCTCAGTGGTGGCTTGTGACTGGGACACGGAGGCCAAGCCCCTTCTCTCCCAGCAGCAGAGGGGCACACTAGGGCACGCCAGCAGAAACCCCATTTCTGCCTTTTCTTCTGACAAAAAAAAAAAAAAAAAAAAAACAACCCAAACCAACAAACAGCAAAACACTAAGGACTATTTCTCTCACGCAACTTACTTATTACACAGATAGCTAAATGTTGCAAAATTTTGCTTAATAACAAGCATAATTAAGTCGCTTTTTCATTTACCTTGTAAGGTGCTATGCATTCTGCAGCTTGAAAATTCAGTCACCTGTAACTAGAAGTCAGTCAAGATCAGCTAGCAGGTAAAGGAAAGCAACCCGGGTAGCCACACCCCCAGAGTCAGGCCTTAAACAACAGGAGGTATAGATAATTGTCCCCAGAAGCTAAAGCTGCTACAGTGGAACAAAGAGGACAAAACAGTAACTGGCTGAAGAAACCGAGACTGAGAAGAGAAAAGCATTAGACTGGCAAGAGGGGAGTCAGAGGAGGAAGGAGAGCACTTTCTGAGTTACACAGACTTTCCACCACTTTTTCTCTTGTAGTGAGACAAGGGCTTCTTACGTAGCCAAGGCTAGCCTTGAACTCAGAATTCTCCGCTCTACCTCTCAAGTGCTGGAATCATAAACAAATGCCACCAAGCCCAGCTCTTTACAATTATTCTAATGTAACCCTCAGAGCTCCAAGACGTTACGCTTTGTGGAGAAAAATAACAGACATTCCACCCATGGAGTCAAGCCACATCTAGGAAAGTCCGTCCTTCTTGGGTCATTTTAAAGTCATGCTGCTTTCTAGTCTAGACTTCAAATATAGTAAACAAAATGTGTAATGCATCTATACAGTATCTGTATGAAGAAACTAATAATTTATACTTGAATGAAAAGACTTCTTTTTTTTGCAGGGACTAAGTTTGAGATACTGTATCAGGTACTTTCAGATACAGCAGAAACAGAGTCAAGTACATATCTGTGTATGTGTGCAATTACTCTACTTTATAAATAAGCTGTCAGCTAAGCAGTACATTTTTTTATAATTCACAATTAGAAATCAATTTTGACTGATTCCTAAATTCCTGATCACCTAATTAGATAGCTTGTTCCTTTCTCATTTACCTTGCAAAGCATTTCCTGTCACTGAATAAAAATTTTACTCTAAGTCAGGTAGCAATGGCTCACACCTTTAATCCCAGCACTCGGGAGACAGAGGCAAGTAGATTTCTGTGAGTTCGTGGCCAGCCTGGTCTACAAGAGCTTGTTCCAGGACAGGCTCCAAAGCTACACAGAAAACCGTGTCTCAAAAAAAAAAAATAAATAAATAAATAAATGAATATTTTAAAAATCTTACTCTAACTTGCTTGTTATGCTCTCTGAAAACTTTCCATAGATGTCATCATAAAACAAAACATGTGGTTCTGGACTTCAGGGCAATGAGCGGAGAGAAAGGGAGCAGAGAGGGGAAGACTGAGACACAATTTTCATTAGCAAAGCTAAATAATTCCTGTCAGTGAATCTTCAAGGACTTTTACAAAAATAGTCTAGGTAACTAAATATTATGACAGGCGATTTCCCCGTGGTAGTTCACTGTGTATGTGTGTGTGTGTGTGGGGGGGGGGGATCAGAAGACCACTTCTGACGTCATATTCCCTGAGCTATTCCTTTGAGAGCAGAAGCTGGTAGAGCATGCTGGTTGACCAGCAACTCCGGGAACCCACCTGGCTCTGCCGCCCCAACTGTAGGACTGCAAGCTCCCAGGCCACCAAATCTTTGGGTTTGTTGTTGCTGCTGGTGCTGTTAAATAACATGGGTTTTAGGGACTGAACTCAGGTCCTTGTGCTTCCAAGACAAGCACTTTACCAACTGAGCAGTCTCTCTAATACCTATTGCATCTTATTTTTACTGTGCGCGCGCGTGTGTGTGCGCGTGCATGTGTGTGTGTGCGTGCATGTGTGTGTGTGCGTGTGTAAGAAACAATGATCTCATGAATTCTAGACTGGCCTCCAACCAAAGATAACCTTGAACTTCTGACACAGCTTCTACCTCCCAAACGCAAGTGTTACCACGTCTGGCTTATACTATGCTATGGACGGAGACCAGGACTTTCAGCAGGCTAAGCCAAGAGCTCCAATCGTACGACATCCTTAGTCCCTTAATCTACTTCCTGTGATGTCTCACAATTTATAATACAAGCTGGCTTTGAACTTGCGATTCCGTTACCTCAGCTTCAACAGCAGTGGGATGGCAGCCACTATACCCAGATCTAGTATTTTAATCATCTCCTAGGTGAGAGGGCCCATGTGGTCAAGGATGGCCATGAATGAGGCCCAACACAAAACTGTGAAAATAAACACTGAGTTCTTTTTGCAAGTTTTCTTTTCTTTCTTTCTTTTTTTTTTTTTTTTTTTGGTAACTGGATTATGATGTTCTCAGCCATGAACTATGTGGATGACAGCAACATTGTATCCAAATGTCAAAAAAGGTCGGAAGTACCTGCCTTTGGCAACTGTTGTATCTAAATGTCAGAAGGGCTGGATATACCTGCAATCTCGTTTGTATCAAAATGCATTTATTTATACAATATATTCTGTTGGGACCAATTGAGTCCGGGCCTTCGGCTGCTCTTCCCTGTCTAGAGCCTTCTAATTGAAGTGACTAAAAGCTGTGTTTTGCCTAGAGGATCAGAGGATGGGATTTTCACCTGGTGGCCATTGACTGCAAGGTATTTAAGCCTCCAAGGTGCTACTAAAGAAGGGCTTTTTGGTACCAGTGTTGGAAGGTCTGTGTCGGTCTGTCTCTGCGTGTGTATTCTCAACCTCCAGTCCCTTGCCCAAAGCTCGTGAACTGGGTTCCAGCGCATAGAGCGCAGACGGGGGCCGCAGTGCATGACAATATCCGTTTTTGAGTTTTGAGTTTAAAATATTTTCTGTAGCACCCCGTTGAAATTTCTACCAAGACCTCATGAGAGAAGTTTCCAACAATGTCCGACAAAACACTATCTAACAAATCCACAAAATACGAATGGGGGAGGCTGAGAAGATGGCTCACTGGATAAAGCATTTGTCCCACGAGTGTCAGAATGGGAGCTGAGGTCCTTGCAGCCATTTAAAAGTTGAGCCAGTGCTCAGAACTGGGGAGGGCGGAGAAATGGGATCCCTGAGGCAAGCTGGCTAACCAAACCAGCAAAGCCCGGGTTTCAGTGAGAGCCCCAGCTTCAGTAAACATCATGAAGAGCAATCGGGAGAGACACCTAAAATTAACGTTAACCTCTGCCCTCCACATACACACTCGTGGACACACCACACCCCCACAACCAACCAATGAAATACAGATATCCACAGCGAGCGTCTAGGTGTTAAAGGGTCAGTTCTCCACGGTCAACAGGCAACCCAGCAACACCAAGCATACGTAGCAATGCGCTTCTCTCTGGGAGTAAACACATTTACAAACAGGCACTGTCCCGAGGCAACCGCAGCTTTAGGGCACCCGGCAGGGATGACAGCACAGCCTTCAGCAGCCTTCCCGACCCGCGACCTCTCAGACCACATCCCTCGCAGTTCCCTCTCCTACTTGCGTTCTGGCTCCTGATCATTCTCTACCGGGAAGCCGGCAGGCTGCGTGCAGACCTCTCGCCACGGAACAGACAGACGCGTGGCTTCCGCAGACGGCGCCTCTCACGGGGGAGGCACCGGAGAGGCTGCGCCCCCGGATTCGCCCAGCATCACCCAGCGTCGCCCACGGGGGAGGCATCGGAGAGGCTGCGTCCCCAGCATCGCCCAGCATCACTCAGAATCGCCCAGCATCACTCAGAATCGCCCAGCATCACCCAGAATCGCCCAGCGTCGCCCAGCATCACCCAGAGTCACCCAGCATCGCCCAGCATCACCCAGAGTCAACCAGTATCGCCCAGCATCCCCCAGAATCGCCCAGCATCACCCAGAATCGCCCAGCATCACCCAGAGTCACCCAGCATCGCCCAGCATCACCCAGAGTCAACCAGTATCGCCCAGCATCACCCAGAATCGCCCAGCATCACCCAGAATCGCCCAGCATCACCCAGAGTCACCCAGCATCGCCCAGCGTCAACCAGTATCGCCCAGCATCACCCAGAATCGCCCAGCATCGCCGAGCATCACCCAGCGTCGCCCAGGATCTCCCAGCGTCGCCCTCCGCGGCGGGCGAGCACCGAGGCCGGCGGCCCTGCCTGCCGGGTGCCCTGAGGGAGCGCGCAGCGAGCCGCGGCTGCAGCGGGGCCGCACCGGGACTCACCTCAGGCATCCGGAGCCGGCGGGAAGGAGGACGGGAAGGACGACGGCCGTGAAGCCTCCACGCCCCTCCAGGCAGGACTCCCGCCGCCCCGAGGACCGCCGGGACCGACCTCTCCGAGGAGCTCCGAGCGGCGCGAGCCGGACACGGGAGCCGGCAGGGCGCGAGCAGCGCGCCGCACGCCGAGTCTCCGGCCCCGCCCCCTGGCGGCGCCCTCGGCGACCAATCAGGAGCAGAAGTGGCAAGAGCGACGGCCCCGCGGGCCCGTTGACGCGAGCCAGGGGGTCCTCACTCCGCCGGAAAGGAGATCCCCCAAAAACTGGGTTCCGGGATTTCCTCGTCTCTTCCGTTTCCGTTTCCGGGGGCGGGACTGGAGCGTGGGGTCGTTGTCTGGAAGCTTTGGGTCACGGTCGCGATGGCGTGGTTATTTTCGGGCAATCTTCATGTTGTTAGCCCAGCCACCGTGGGGGAAAAGATAATGAAAACGGATTTGCATAAAGAACAACATGCTTTTTATTTAATTTTATTTTATGTGCATTGGTGTGAGGGTGTCAGATCCCCTGGAACTAGAGTTACAGACAGTTGTGAGTATCCCTGTGGGAGCTGGGAACTGGAACAACCGTTGCTCTTAACCGCTGAGCCGTCTTTCCAGCCCCGAAGCAAAGGGATCTCAAGGGTTGCGGGATGGAGGAGCCAGAGCCTGAATATGAAGATAGGATCCTACAATGAGTGAAACGAAGAGACGAAGCGGGACGGTGGTGGCGCACTCCTTTAATCCCATCACTCGGGAGGCAGAGGCAGGAGGATCTCCGTGAGTTCGAGGCCAGCCTGCTCTACAGAGCTAGTTCCAGGACAACCAGGACTGTTACACAGAGAAACCCTGTCTCCCAAAACAAAAACAAAGCAAGAAAGAAAAAGAAATGAAGAGACAAGGTGGAAACGGGGGCTTATACAGAGAAAAGGGAAAGAAAAACCTGGCTGGGATGCATAACAGTATTTGTTCACTAACAGGATTACGTCATTTCAAACAAAGCACACTTAGTACCCAGCAGTAAGGATACAATACTCGGGTAGATAAAAGATCCCTCTGTCCTCGGAATGGGAAGATACTGGCAGCGGGAGTGCTTACTAACTATGGAGAGCATGGGCCTATGAGCTGTAAGGTGCTGAAATTAAAATTGTTGCAACTAAATTAGGATCGTAGCTACGGAAGTAACACCATTTTGTACAAAGTTACCATGGCTGTCACCAGCTTGAGTTTGTTAAGTCAGTCCCAGGTTAAGCCTTTTAAAGTCGTCTAGGAGAGCTAGAGAGATGGCTCAGTGGTTAAGAGCACTACCTGCCCTTCTTAAAGGTCCTGAGTTCAATTCGCAACCACGTGGTGGCTCACAACCATCTGTAACGAAGTTTGATGCCCTCTTCTGGCCTGCAGCAGACATGCAGACAGAACACTCTACACAATAAATAAATAAACCATACAAAAAAATAATAAATAAATAAATAAAAACATTAGAGGAAGTATATATAATAAAAAAAAAGAAAAAAAATAAGCTGGTCCAGGAAATGCTGACCACTAAAAAACCCTTTGCCTTTGCCCAGAAATGTGTAACTTTTGGGAGATCATTAACTAACTGTTTATTTTGGCTTCTGTGAACATAATGTCTGCACAAGATTTCTCTTTCAGATTCGTTTGGTTTATTCACCCAAACTTTATATATTTATTTTTGTTTGTTTGTTTTCCAAGACAGTGTTTCACAGTGTAGCCCTGGCTGTCCCAGAACTCTCTCCATGGACCAGGCTGGCACTGAACTCAAAGATCCACCTACCTTTGCTTGCTGGAGTTAAAGGAAAGCATCACCACCACCCATCCACACAGACATTTCTTATGACGTCATGTTACTATAAAAGTTAAACGGACATCTCTCCAAGCTGGGAACAGTTTGGACAGAGATGCTGACGCTGGTTCCACTGGGAAATGTTCTCCAGTAAGGAGGCCCTGGAGGCTTGCAGGCTAGGAAGCTGACACTGGACACGGGTGATGATTCGGGAAGCCATTGAGAGCAGAGGCCAAGGACTGGCAATGACAGGCAGGACTGTAGGGCCCAGAGACAGTGTCGTAAGTCCAACCCATCTCTGAGGCCAGGGCAATGCAGTCTCAAGTCCTTTTGGTGATGGGGGTATCAACACCCAGGCTAGAAATGAGACGAGGTGTCTAGGGAACGGGAACATGGCAGTGTGGTCCTTAAGAATGCTCACAAAGTTTCAATCTTTGTATCATTTCACGGGGCTTGGGCTTTGGGGCACCAGGGCTCACAACTTGTGGCTGGTTGCTATCACGTCAAAGCACCTTAGGGTTAGTTGGGTTTTTGTTATTTTTTAATCATATCAAGGCCGATCCTTGGCTAGGTTAGTAGCTGGGCTGCTAAGTGGCCTGATTCTCGCTCTTATCAGAGCTCTCAGGTGGCAAACGTCTGTCTCACAGGCGTTACGTTCTTCCAAGTCACACCAAAGGGTTTCTCAGTTACAAGTTATGTCCTTAACACTGGACCACAGGAGTCTCTAATTAAAAGGCCCAAAGGAATCAGGAACACTTTCCTTAAAGGAAAGTTTAAAGTTCCCTTTAAACTGAAACCTACATCCTGAATAAGTCGAAAGAGTGAGCAGAAGTTTTCCAGGAATAGTGAAAATGGGTGGGCAAACCGTTGAGCCTCAAACCCTGGAAGAGAAGGCTGCAGCACCTTTTTAATATAGCAAAGTGGAGGCTGGTAGGGGTGGGGTGGTGCTCACCTTTGATCCCCACACTCAGGAGGCAGAGGCAGATGGATCTCAGTGTGTCTGACTGAGGCCAGCCTGGTCTTCAGAGTGAATTCCGGGACAGCTAGGACAGTTATACAGAGAAACCCTGTAGGGGAGGGCACCAAAACAAACAAAACCAAAAGGAACTTGAGAGATGGCTAAGAAATTAACACCACTGGCAGCTATTCCAAAGGTTCCGAGTTCAATTTCCAGCAACTACATCCTAGTGGCTCACAACCATCTGTAGTGAGATGGGATGCCCTCTTCAGGGCAGACAGAGCACTTGTAATCATAAAATAAATAAATCTTGTGGGAGTCCACGTGTGGACTCAGTTTCCATCTGGAGTCCATTCTGACTTCAAGAAGTCACTTGAGTTCAAGTTTGCCTGCTCTGCTTTTTCCAGTAACTTTGAGGGCTGTGAGGAATGTCTGTGTCAGTCCAGAAAATGAACATTTTTGTCCAGATGAAAGAGCACATGTTTCTATTAAGATTTGGGCTGGCATACACCATGAGGCACTCCTCACTAGAGATGAGAAGCTGCTTAGCTGGATGAGATGAGGCACCCGCTTGAGCTTCCTCCCTAGGACAGTGCAGGGAAGGGGTTAGCTGACTCCAAGTCGCTTTGTTTTGCCTTTTGCCTGGAATTAGTATATATGATGGCTGAGAAATAAACTCGGGGCTGTTTGGTATTCTCTTCAGTCCTCTAGGTTTGTCCTATGTTTCTGTCTTCATTTCTCTTAATCTGCTATTCCTATCATCTCACGCCCCCTCCCAGGTACCCCTTGCTGATTTCTGTCAGAGTGGGCTCCAACAAAATCTTAAACAACATCATCATCAACAACAACAACAACAACAAAAAAATGGAGGCTGGCTGCCAAACTCTCCCAGTATCTCTCAGTCTCTATCGATTACAGGGAAGGCACCATCTTGGCTAAGGGCAGGGCAGATAGCCTAAACACCATCTTTGCTATAAGAGTGACCATGCAAATCCTGCCATCTTGACTAAGGGCGAATAGGACAGGTAAAGTGACCTATTTGGCATCTTTACTACGAGTGTTCACATAAGAAGTCACCCTTGGGCCACTCAGCCCTTGGTGGCAACCGGGACAGGGAGGTGCTGCAGACTGTGCAACTCTGCCTCTAAGCAAGCAGCACCTGCAACAGCTGCCCCCTCCCCCACTGCCAGGGCAGTAATGTCACTACCTGTCACCAGCCGCCTTTATGCCATTAGCTATGTTTTTAAAAATGCCCACTAGGCAGAGCCAGTTCACGGTCTTTCCTTGGTCTCTAACCTTTTACACTGACTCTGTTGCATCTGACGTTGTTTGCGTGACAGTCTGCCTTGAAAGAGCCCACTGAGGCATTCATTTCACGCAGGGACTCCACCCACCCACCCGCCTGCCTGCCATCTGCTGCCTGTTGGCTCTCTCGTCTGCCCTTCTGGCTTGCAGGAACCCCACCCATCTGCCCGCTCCGCCTGCAGCTGATCTGTTCCCTTCTTCCTGCAAGGGCTCTGCTTTCTCATTCAATGGCGTCTTTGATTCTCCTCTCTCTCCCCCTCTCTCTCTGCTACCATGTGTGAGTCAGAGATAGAAAAGTCAGCTTCCTCTCTGTCAACACACACGGGTTTTCCTTTTATTTATATTTTGCTCAGCTCCTGTTTAATGTGTGTATGTGTGTGTGTGTGTGTGTGTGTGCATGTGACTTTGGATTTAACCCTGTGTGAATATAAGCTAGCTTTAGCTCTGTATGTGTGTAAGTGTGTGTGTAACTTAAATCCAACTGTGTGTTTGTGTCCATGCCCTTACTCTAAAGAAAAATGTTTTAAGCAGTCCTATTGAGCTCTGTTCATTGTACCTTCTTCCAGACTAAGAAAACAAGTCTCAGATACTTTAAATTTGTATATACCTGGGTTTTTTTTGGGGGGGGGGTTTCAAGACAGGGTTTCTCTGTAGCTTTGGTGCCTGTCCTGGAACTAGCTCTTGTAGACCAGGCTGGCCTCAAACTCACAGAGATCCGCCTGCCTCTGCCTCCCATGCTGGGACTAAAGACTGAGCCACCACCGCCCGGCTTTGTTTGTTTTTTGAGACAGGGTTTCTCTGTGTAACTGCCCAGGCTGTCCTGGAAATTTCACTGTAGACCAGGTGGCCTCAAACTCAATCTGCCTGTCTCTGCTGGCATTAAAGGTGTGTGCCACCACTGCCTGGATAATCTGTTTAATCTTAAAGCTTTGATCTCCTTACATTTGGTTATTTTAGTGTTAAATTTGTGTCCTTACAATTAGCATAAAGAAATGTATCATTATCCTATATATTTAATGAACCAATTTCACGTCTGCTTTTACAATTGAAAAACTATTCATCATGTCTGTGGGTGTGGAGGCCACAGTAAAACTTCCAGCATGTGAGTCCCAGTGGTTAGACTCAGGCCATCAGGTCTGGGGGCTTCTTTGTTGGCTCTCACCTGGCTTTGAAAGAAGCTTTCTCATTCTATAGCCCAGGCTGACCTGACAGCAATCCTCCTGCCTTAGCCTCCCAGTTTATCTGGTTATAGATATGTGCCACCACACCACAGTTTATCTCTGGTTATAGATGCGTGCCACCACACCACAGTTTATCTCTGGTTATAGATGTGTACCAACACACCACAGTTTATCTCTGGTTATAGATGTGTGCACCACACCACAGTTTATCTGGTTATAGATGTGTGCCACCACACCACAGTTTATCTCTGGTTATAGATGCGTGCCACCACACCACAGTTTATCTCTGGTTATAGACGTGTGCACCACACCACAGTTTATCTCTGGTTATAGACGTGTGCACCACACCACAGTTTATCTCTGGTTATAGATGTGTGCCAACACACCACAGTTTATCTCTGGTTATAGATATGTGCACCACCAGTTTTTGTCTGTGTCATTTCCTGGTGTCATATAACTTTAATGTATTGCCTTACTCTAATAAGATATATATTAAAAATTCAGATATACCTAGCAGGTGTGATGGTGTATGGTTTTAATGCCAGCACATGGGAGGCAGAGGTAGGTAGGTCTCCGAGTTACATGTCAGCCTGGTCTACACATAAAACAAATTCACACACACGTGAGTAAAATGGCATTTAAAATACAGCGAGAAGGACTGTGGTGAACTATAAAACTACGGTAAGATAAAATCAACTCAAGGAAATCCACTTAAAAGCCAAATAGAGCTGTATTTTTACAGCTGTACAAAAGAAAATTTACATTCTCAATGTAGCTAGATACATCAAGGGAGACATGACACATCCCTCAAGAGACACAATATTTAACATCTGAGATGTTACATTTCTGCACCGCAGATTGATACTGAATTTTTTACATCTTTATTTACAATAACTTAAAATATTCTTTCATCTCTGGCCGATATTTACAAGTTCAACAGTGACCACATTTCACAGTTCAACAACCAACAGCATGAATCCATCCGGTCAGACAGGCTAATGGCTCACATGCACCAATACATATGATTTTAGATGTGCGTTTATTTTTTTTCTTCAGCTCTGGGGGAAAAAAAAGATTTTTTTTGTCCTAGGTTGAAAGGACACTCGTCAGGAACGATCATACTTTTTATATGTCTGTCCAGTAGTTTCAGCAGCAGAATCCCACCAATGTTGGGGAAGTTTACACAAAGCTACAGATTGATGTTAGTTAAAAACAACAACAAGAAGTTGATCTAAATATCCTCTTATGAAACAAATAATAAAAGCAGGGTATTTTGTTTGCCTGTTACAGAAGTCACATTACATACAGCCAAGGCAATAAAACCCTTGCACTGCTAAGATGGTTTCTTTTAGCCAATTTTAAACAGAATTTAATAAAGCCTGCCTAATTTTAGAAGAACCTAAAGATACAATGTAAACACAGACTTCAAACATTGCTACAATGTAAACACACTGACTTCAAACATTGCTAACATCACATGGAGCATCTTTCATATCTTTGCTTCTATTTAGAAAGGATAATTAAAAACCCAAACCATTATCAGTCTGTCGTTATCTGAAAGCCAATCTTCTCGTCTGAGAAGCGACACATTCTTGTTTGTTTTTATTCAGATAGGATTTCATTAGCCCTGGCTACTCTGGAATTCACCACCAGTACCAGGCTGGCCTTGAACTCACGGACAACTGTCTGCCTCTGCCTCTGGCCTGTGCCACCATGCCCCATCCAATATTTATTAACTATAATAAAAGGACTTGTTTGGAATAGCAGTTTCAAAAAAAACTGTGTTTCATGATTTAATAAATCATTACACAGATTAAACCCTTTAGATCTTTTTGGCCTACGTCTTTTACAGATGTTTTAGCTTCCTTTAAGCCAATTATGTTTTCAAGAGTGGACATGTACAAAAATCAATGTGAATCAATCATTAGTTCAGCTAATAATAACACCAGAAACAAACGCCTCTGCCCACTCAGGAGCACCCTTCAGTAAGTTTCCCTATAATTCACCTAAACAATCCATAATAAAACTGACAAGCCAAATCCTTAATTTTAATATGTCATAAGGAATACAAGTTATTCTCTAATTGGTACTGTTATTGGAGCACTGACATCTTACTGATGTAAGGATAAACACAATCCTGTACGTCTGTTACTGTATTTGTGTCTCCCAGTTCAAATCATGTATACTTGTTCCCTTTGGTGTGAGAAAGCAATTGCATTAAAGGAGCTAAGTTACTTAATAGACATTCTGAAAATAATTTTGGTAGCATTTTCTTTGGTAAATTTTGTAACTGATGAAGACATAAAAACATCTCCTGATAAGACCAACACTGAACTGTTACACTCGAGTACAGCAAGCCACATAGCAACTCTGTGGATGGGGACAGATCATCCAATTGGGTGCAGTTCTCTCTGTACATACAAAGATCTATTAGCCTACCTTCAGGTACACAACTTTAAAAAAATATTTATTTATTTATTATGTATACATTATTCTGTCTGTGTGTATGCCTGCAGGCCAGAAGAGGGCACCGGACCTCATTGCAGATGGTTGTGAGCCACCATGTGGATGCTGGGAATTGAACTCAGGATCTTTGGAAGAGCAGGCAATGCTTTTACCCTCTGAGCCATCTCTCCAGCCCCCCAGGTACACAGTTTTTAAAACAGACTCATTTATACCTTACGATACACTTGAGTCTACTCTTTTGGTAAACCCTATTAAATGTAGTAATATGATATCAGACATATGAGTATGTCTCAGTCTGTAAACATCACAAACCCATCTTCTTCACGTTCAGAAGCAAAACCCACATAGGAACTCTCGTCTCTGAACTGTTACTCTCGTTTCTGTTTTTATTTTTTTATTTTTCGAGACAAGGTTTCTATGTGGTTTTGGAGCCTGTCCTGGAACTAGCTCTTTACTCTCGTTTCTGAACTGTTACTCTCGTCTCTGAACTGTTACTCTCGTCTCTGAACTGTTACTCTCGTCTCTGAACTGTTACTCTCGTCTCTGAACTGTTACTCTCGTTTCTGAACTGTTACTCTCGTTTCTGAATTGTTACTCTCATTTCTGAATTGTTACTCTCATTTCTGAATTGTTACTCTCATTTCTGCCCGTTACTTCATGTCCTCCTACATTTCTGCAAAACTGTATCCTGAATTTGGTCTTGTATATACTTCTCATAGGACAAATGTCTAATGTTACAAAAATACTGCCAGGAGAGGGGGCGGGGAAGAAGCAAGACTTTGTGGTGTGTGGTCAGGGTTAGACAAGGAGGCGGGGCTGTTCCTCCTCCATGACCAGTAGGTTCTCTGCAGTACAGTACCAGGGTGATGCTACCTGTTAGATTCACACAGCACAAACGATACTAAAGGTTGTCTCAACACATTAGCATGGGAAATTGTACCAGTCTGATGACTCAGGATTTTATTAATATTATTTTACACTGTATTTCATGTTTATTCAATCTGGCAAATACTCTATTTTTAAGAGGTTAAGCTGTCAATTGCTGGTTTTCAAATCACTTATTCTTGCAAACCACTTTAAGAAAATTAAAATATTTCAATAAGTGTCTCACCCAACTTGGTGATGGAACAACAGTGGGCATTCAGCTCAAAAGAGAAGAGCCTCTTGCTCCAACGGCATCGTATAACCCCAGTGCAGAAAAGCCACTCAGAGAGTCCTGTGCAGTTTCTAATCACCAGTATGACATTCTATTCTTTTTAAATGGAAAAACAATATATAATTGAAATACTAAGCTTTTTGGTTAAGAAACCCCTTTATAATATAATCCAAGTTCAGAAATGGAGTGATCCTCCTTCTCAGTGTTTTACAGTGTGCTATCCTACCCATAAAGACAAAAACTAGTATTTTTATTTATAAACATGCGGTGAATTAGATGAGACTGTCGGTTATCGACAACTGAAGTCCTCAAAAATGGACCAAAGGAACCGCACGAAACAAGGTGGGGAAGACACACCACTGCATCAGGGTGCTCACGGAAACAGTGCAAACAAAAGCAACCTGGAGAAGTTCTCCTCAGTATCCTGGTGTCTGATAAATCCAGGAAGCTTAAAGTTACTGAACGGAATTTAGACTTCAGGTTGCAGACACTGAGGTTACACAGGGCTGCTTTCATACAGTTTATGTTATTAGTGGCAGAGGCCACTGCTCATGGAATCATAAGCACAGTAAGGAACAGCGTCTCTCCGGCTTAGGACTGAATGGGATCGAGTTTCTCTTTACTTTGCTTCCCTCCAGAGTGTGTGTCCTTGGTGACTGAAAACGGGCTGATTCAAACTCACTTTCAAACTGTTACAACACTGATCAATGTCATTCCGTTGGGTTTATTTTATAACAAACAAATCCCCACAAATACAAATAACATGGCAGTATGTCACTGCTGTGTGGCAGAGAACTCATAAGGCATAAATCAGAAGAGAATAACGTGCTGCACAGGTGTCTATGTTTGAGCACTACATCCCCATCTATGTTATTTTACATTTTTTTCCCTGGAATTAATACTTTCCTTAATGTGTTCACCAACTGCTAGACCAGAAACTGAGGAATCGCAGAAACGGAAAAGTATCCGTATATACATTTACCAAGTATGGGTAACAAGAGGCATCGGGGTGTGGCTATGCTGTTGACCAGGGCCAAGGTTTGAGAATGGCTGGACCTTACTTCACAGCCTCTGACGGTGAAGGTGTGTGTATGGCCGAGAGAGCAGCTAGGTCATCCCCTGGGTTTCTCCTAATGCAGCAATTCTGATCTGCACTAGAAGGCACCGAACAGCAAGCTGGAAACCGGAGGGTGTTAGTAAAGGAACAAGACTTTATTACCTCCTTGGCTTCTTAATATATTTTCATATTTTAAAGCCTTACTTCTAAGTTACCTTTCTGCTGTACATTTTAGTTTTCTTATTAGTAGTTAAAGTCACACAGAAGAACTCCCAAACCTTCAGGTGCTCAACTCTGTAATCTGACCTGGCGCAGATGGCTCCGACCGTTTTTTCTCTTAGTGGGACGAAGCTTCATGGAAGTCGGGAAGCAGCAAAGGGAGGTTGTTAAAGATAAAGAATGGGCACTTCTGGCTGACGTGTAACGGGTGCTGTATAACTGAACAAAAACCATTTAAATCAGATGCTGGAAGCACAGCAGTTAGAAAGAGTCTTAGAAAACTTATTTCATTTGAACTATTACCTAAGACCATGGCTATAAAGTGTAAATGAGGATTTCTTTACTGAGACCAAATCACAGCTCAAAGGACAGGATTCAAATGTTACAGGGTCACATATATGCATATGTAAAATATACATAGCAATAAATGAAAGTCTTGTAAGATGAACTTTTTTTTTTCCTTTTGGTTTTGCATGACAGGGTTTTCTCTGTGTAGCCCTGGCTGTCCTGGAACTCACTCTATAGACCAGGGTGACCTTGAACTCAGAGGGCTGGGACTAAGTGCATGTGCCATCACACACTTGGAAAATATCTTAAAACCAACATTACAGTTATAATATTTCTAATTAAAAGACATTTTCTTGTATTTACTACAGTTTATGCTATGATTTCAAATTTTTTGGTATTCTTTTGTGCTTTAATTAAAATGCTTGATTTAGATGCCAACATATGTGCACTTGGGTCCACGAGCCTCTTACATAACCAAGTGCATGCTGCCGTACCGTGAGGGACACCTTCCACACGCGTGCTGCCGTACCGTGAGGGACACCTTCCACACACGTGCTGCCGTACCATGAGGGACACCTTCCACATGCGTGTTGCCGTACTGTGACCGACACCTTCCACACTCATGCTGCCGACCGTGACCGACACCTTCCACACGCGTGCTGCCGTACTGTGACCGACACCTTCCACACTCATGCTGCCGACCGTGACCGACACCTTCCACACGCGTGCTGCCATACCGTGACCGACACCTTCCACACGCGTGCTGCCGTACGGTGACCGACACCTTCCACACGCGTGCTGCCATACCGTGACCGACACCTTCCACACGCGTGCTGCCGTACCGTGACCGACACCTTCCACACGCGTGCTGCCGTACCGTGACCGACACCTTCCACACGCGTGCTGCCGTACCGTGAGGGACACCTTCCACACGCATGTTGCCGTACGGTGACGGACACCTTCCACACGCGTGCTGCCGTACCGTGACGGACACCTTCCACACGCGTGCTGCCGTACCGTGACGGACACCTTCCACACGTGTGCTGCCGTACCGTGACCGACACCTTCCACACGTGTGCTGCTGACCGTGAGGGACACCTTCCACACGCGTGCTGCCAACCGTGACCGACACCTTCCACACGCGTGCTGCCGATTGTGAAGGACACCTTCCACACGCGTGCTGCCGTACCGTGACCGACACCTTCGAAACCTTCCACACGCGTGTTGCCGTACGGTGACCGACACCTTCCACACGTGTGCTGCTGACCGTGACGGACACCTTCCACACGCGTGCTGCCGTACCGTGAAGGACACCTTCCACACGCGTGCTGCCGACCGTGAAGGACACCTTCCACACGCGTGCTGCCGACTGTGAAGGACACCATCCTTCATGCACTAGAAACCTCGTCTGTTTAGAATGTTAGGAAAAGTTTACTTCTCCAGTTTCCACTGCTTTATAATTTTCTAGTTTATACAACATCAGTGAAATGAGTAGAAACGGGACTGAAATGTGTCTGTGATAGCTGCATATCATATCGTAAAAACCAATAAATCATGGCAATGATGTGAATAACCGCTGAGGCTCTAGTTTTCCATTTTGTAGACCATCAGATCCAATCAGGGATAGTCTAACAGACACACAGACAGACGACTCTTCCAAAAGTCGTGGTGCGGAAAAAAAGAGAGGTGTTTTCCTGGTTAATTTATCAAATTCTACCGTAAACGGAGATAAAACAATTCTGTCAATTAAGAGAACACTTGCTTTCAATAAAGGCAGTATATTTTTCTTTCACAACGACACATGAAATGTCTACACGTACAAGGGTATGTGTAACTCATGGTTTTGAGATGGACAGCAGATGAAGACACAATACTGATTTTCAAAATCCCAGTACATTCCCTTCTTTTTCAAACAAAGCCTGAGACCCAGAAGAGATTGTAAGAAAGTCTTTCCCAACCAAATCACACAAAAGAACTGAGCCAATAATGCATTCTTGTAACCTCTTAGCAGTCACCAAACGCTACTGACATACATTCAACATCGAGCTTACTGGCATGATTTCAAAGTTTTATAAAAACGAGAAACTTTGCAGATAATCAGAAGATACACAAATTGCATTAAACGCAAAGGCAGTGTGGTCCTTGTGGAGAAATCAAGTCAGTACCCTCGGGTAGAAACGCTCTATAAAAATGTGTCACATTGAAGCATCAGTGTTTTCAGCCAGTTTTCTGTCCCTGATGCATGTCCTCGGAGCGTACGATCTCAGGACTTTAGGCTTCTTTATCATCCACTATCTGACTGAATTTAGGTACATCTGGGAAGCAGCTGAAAGGGATTCTCCGACAGCCTGACGTCACAGAACGTGGACCGAGAAATCCCCCTCTTTACCTGAAGACGCACGGTTCCTACTTCAGTCATCATCAGCTCACACAGGAAGAGAAGGAAACAGTTACAACCTCACCTCACTTACACTCTCACGCAAACCAAACAAAGCACCCTTCCCCCCACGAAACCCCAGCACCAAAGAAAGTGTCAATCATTCCCAGGAAATAGAGCATGCCCCTTGGAGTCTCTGATTGGCTAGTTCAAACTTTAAGGGCAGAAATGTCCCTAAGTCCTTGTGGGAAGAGGGAAGACGTGTTGTTGATGACTACAGAGCCATTGAGAAAGTGCATTAATTACACAATCAACTCGGAGCCTTCCCCTCCGGTGGAGGTGCTCACAAGCTGACTAAATGCCTCAATAACTAAACGTTTATGATCTTGGGATCGAGGAAAGGGGGCAGCTAGCCTCGTTTTAATGAAACACCGCAGTAGTCTACCACCTTCCCCGTGCTTCTCAAGACTATAACATTGCACAGACTCAGAGAAGTCTGAAGTCATAGCAGAATCTCTGAGGCACTCCTGGTTAAGAGAGAGAAAAAAAATGATCCAGTTATCTCCATAGTTCCATAGATTATGTGAACAAACCCGTTTTGTTTTTAAACAAAAGCCGAAGGATCACTTCATAGGGATCATACACCATTTCCTCTACCACCTCCTCAGTCCCGATCAGCCTACGACGGATTGCACGTTACCCAAGGAGAAAGGAAGGCGTCGAAAAGGCAAACATCTTACACAGCTTCACAAACACATTTGCAAGGAATGGGTGGAGGAAATGAAAGGGGAGAGAAAACCTTATTGCTGTTTCCATACAAAATACAGTATGAAGATGCCTAGGCTAAATCACAATGTGGGATGAAGGGTCCTGCACAATGAAATGTTCAGTTTGAAAGGTAAGCGGATGGGGGACATCAGAACTACACCTGGGATATCAGCTGCATATTGAAACTCGGGGATCGAGACTGCTTTGTTAGGGGGGCTCCTGGGCTGAGGAGCTCCTTGCCTTCACCAGCATGCCCTAGCCGGTCTTCCTGGAGGCTGATGGCTGAGTATCGATTGGCATTTGTGGCTGCCAGGTTAGTCACCCCCTCAGTGCCGACCCCGATGCTGGTACCGGCTTGACTGCCGTTTACATAGTCAAACGATTTACTCGAGGAAGCGCTGGCTGTCCGAATTAGACTTAAGCTATTGGTTTTTGGCACCACCTGGCCGGCAGGCAGACTCAGGTGTTTCTTCATCGGCGTCAGCTCCACTGAATCTAAACTAAGATCTGCTGGCTGTACAAACTGCCTGCGAACTACTGAATCGCGAGGGCTCTCACTGGATTTGCCGGCAGACGCGGTTTCCTTATCTTTGGAGGATCGACCGGTGGCTACTTTCCGTAAGCTTCCTCCCCTCTGAGACGAGGACGACGCTTTGGTCCCATGTGGCTGGCTGCTGAGGGAAGCCCCAGATGAGAAGCCCTCGTCTGCATCGTTCACGTTTAAAGAGTCCTCTCCGCCATTGAGACCCTCAGCACCTACAAGAAACCAGACAGACTCAGCAACAGCTGGATGGGCACAAAGCACTGACCTGCTCTCATCGATGTTACTACGTCTGTAATGACCTTCGGGCCACAAACCTCCACACAGAATTAACACGCTGATCATCGTCTTCATCTTTATATGTCCTGATCTTGGGAAACTACCCGCAAGCGCTAACTAGTGAACTGTCAACATCTAGACACAGAAAACTAAAACACGGCACTGTAAAACCACACTGCTACCCATCTGAAGTCACTGTATCTACAGGTTTTAAAGCAAAACTCGTTCCTCCTTTGTACAACAGGAATTCTCTTCTAACTCCAGTTATCCAGAGCTGTCCCAAGTTATTCAGGCCTACAGGCCAAGCCTTTTCAGTTACAATAAAAATGCATTATTTATTTGGTAGCTAACTGCATTTATATAGCTTTTTAATGTATTTCTTTTTATTATCTACTAAATTTGCCAACTCAACTAAAACACGACGTTGCTTTGGTAACTCTACAATCCCGTCTTGTCTCATGGACACACCTGCATACTGATTTCCGTATTTCCCAAGTCAATCAGCATAAAGGATATACTGACTGTGAGGTGGCAAAGGGGGCCAGCAGGGATATTTCTACTGTCTGTATTTTATATTTCCCAACAGTTTACTTTTTTCTTTTCTTTCGAGACAGGGTTTCACTGTTTAACAGTCTTAGCTGTCCTGGAACTTGCTCTGTAGACCAGGCTGGCCTCGAACTCACAGAGATCCACCTGCCTCTGCCTCCTGAGTTCTGCGAGATGCGGACCATGTGCAATATAATGAGGCTGCAGTTTCCAGACAGCCCCATTCTCTTACTGAAAGGTCTGATCAAATAGTCTCAAAATTAATGTTTTCTTCTTTCAAAAACTGAAAACATTTTCCCAGACTGAAAGAAAACTTGAATCTATAAAATAGATATTAACATGATAGTTAAGGTAAAATGTTAGGGAACAATCTAAATACTACTTTCAGATACAGGTTACCAAAGCAAAATGTATATATTCAAACATAATCTTCTACTTAACATAGTACCTGAGAAAATAAAAATATTTTTTAGCTACATTTCTTCACATGAATTCAAATTAGGCATCCTTAAAGCAAAAGACAATTTGTTCCATAAATGTATTTAAGTGTAAATACAGACATTAATATCTACAGCGATTTGATGTTAAATCACCATGCAAAGCCATGTGGAAATCCATTTACAGAAAAGAGAAAAGCAAGTGACATGAGTTCTCTCAGCCGCTGCGGGAGACCCGAGGACCGTGCACCTCGGAAATGGAAACTTTAGGTCAGATTTGCATCACTTCTTTTAATAACTGACTTCTAAGTAGTATAAATAATTCCAAATATTCAGAAGTATCAATATTAAACTGGATTGAGTTTATCTAAGTGGTCAGGACAGGAGACTGAGAGACTCAGTGTTGGTCTGAATTTTGCTGCATGCAGATCTGGTGCCCAAGCAATCCGGCTATGTGAGAGGGAGGATAACATAAAAGCACCATGCAGGAGACTCTGCTGCTATTCAAATACCAGAAATGCTATTGCAATTTAATACAACAGTGATCACACATAAATCACAGGCACTACCTTAAAGTCTTCCTTGAATTTAAACATATAGTAAACAAATGAATTTTTAAAATTTTATTACTATTTTTATTGTATTTGTATCAGTATCTTCTGTGTCTGTGGGTGTGGAGGTCAGAGGACTCCTGTGGGGCTGGTGTTCCCTGTCTAACTGCACACGGGTTCTACAGCACACTCAGATCCTCGGGCTTGTAGGGCAAACACCTTTAACAACTCAACAATTTTGCCTACCCTAATAAACACACTTTTATTGTAAAAACATTACTATAAATATATTTTACTTTAGAGTACATTATATATGTGATCATAAAAGCTTCAGGGTTTTAGTGAATGAACAAAATTCTCATAAATATTAATCAATTTCCTTTTCTCTGTCTTAAAAACCCTCAAAGGATGCTGCGTAGTGGCACACACTTTTAATCCCAGTACTCGGGAGGTGGTGGCAAATGGATCTCTGATGAGGCCAGCCTGGTCTACAGAGAGAATTCCAGGACACCCAGGGCTACACAGAAAAACCCATTCTCGAAAAACCAAAACCAAGACCACCACCAACAGAAACCCCCAGGGAAATAAAACGCAACTGAGTCTCAGAACATGCTTCCCGTTGTAGCTTTTCTGTAGGTGAAAACACGCATGACTCCAAGACACACAGCTGGAAAGGGCTTCACTGACCCTTCTGTCCACAGCATGTTCCCTAACTTTTGCACCTACGAACACGTGTTTAAACCCACAACTACCCCAGGTTAAGAGATAAAATTATCTTGTCCTTTTGTGAGACAGGGACTCTCTGCCTCTGTCTGCACTGGTCTGGAACGCACAAGAGAGTAGGCTGGCCTGAGTCTCCTCAGTTAGGAGCAGAGGTGTGCGCCACCACACCAGCTCCAAGTGCGCTAAAGAACTGTATCCACTGTCCTTGGTCTATACACCCTGCACACTATCTCAAACATTCAAGATGAATTACTGTTTTGGTTCCTTTTCAAAGCCTATGACTGACGAATTAGAAGTAATGCTTTAGCCTAGTGTCACACCGGCAAGAATTTCAATGTCAATATGGTGTTATTTTTAGCACAAATACTCTCAACATCCTAACAATAATTATACATAAACAGAAAATGGTTTATTTAGTCATCAATAATGAAAAATAGATTGTTGTTTAGTTTGGATCCACTCTAGGTTCCAAAAATCTACTAATTTTATATATATTTTGCATTTAGACAAGAAAGATCTAATTGCTCTAGGGGTTAGATAGAGATAGGAAATAGACCAGAAGGGAAGGCACACCTCCACAGGCACGTCAGGAAGAGTCTCTACAGCAGGACCACCTGTGGGGGCAGCGGGCCATGCACATGCACAAGTGTTACATGGAGTGAGACAATCTGGGCAAACGGGTGAGGAACCAAGGGAACATTTAGATTCTTACTGAGCATGCTCAAAGTTCTAGTACACCAAAGAGAGACATACTTCTGTAAGGTAGAAAGTAAATGTTCTGTGTTTGTTCTTTTAGTATGAAGAGCTGGTCTCTTTCAAGGGCACTCAGAGATGTATTAGTGTAGTTTTAGGGTAGTCCTCCAGGGGCTATGGGCTACAGTTCTGTCTTCCACAAAGCTAACTCCTGTGGCGTTCCATGCACAGGGCTCCTATCTGCCTACACCTACACAGGAGAGACAAAGCTCTGCTCTGCTCACGACCTGCGAACAACACACTTCATCCGTCTGGGGCTATCGTTATTCATAAACACAGGGAGGGCACAACGCTTCGGGACAGCAGTCAGAAGATGTCAGGGATTTATTAGGAACTTAGTCCAGCTGTTGAGAAGCCGGCCAGTTCCAGCGCTCTGTCAGAGAAGGGAGATACCCTAGGAACATAGCTCCACTTGGGTTTCTTAAGTGGACTTGTATTTAAAACTCTCTTCACAGACTTTTACAGAAGAAACCATCCTGTGTGCACATTAGTACGGACGATGCTGCATTAGAGTAAACATGCTCAGTAATGAAAGCCTCCAAGCGTTTGCAGACTTTTCATCCTGCCTTGTTAGTAGCCATGCCAAGCTGCCGTCTGGTGACACAGGGAAGCAGACTCCAGGCCAGCACAAATGGCAACTGAAGATCGCACCTAACCTGGTGCTAGGCACAGGGGAGGAGGGCTGCTTTGCAAAGAGGAGCTAGTACACCCAGGGCAGTGGAGACACACACTACAACGGAAAGGTCCTCCTCCAGCAACTGCCTCACTGACTCCTGCCTCCTCATCTCTGTCCTACCCTCTGTGGTGGCTGCTGCCGAGGTGGGCTCCGGCGAGCCATGCTCAGGGGTCCTGCGCACCTCCCCCTCTCGCACACGTATGATCCCTAGGTCAGTGGAGCCGTGTTGGATCGGGGAGCCGGGAATACTCGAGTCAGCCTCGTTTGAGAAGTCAAAGCCATCTGGGATTCAACATATAACATTTTAGTACTTTTGTGCTGCTCTGTCCTCTTCTGAGCATTCTGACCCAGGCATGTACATATGGATGACATCAACACAAACACTATCTCCATAGCTACATGTGTGTGCACAGCTCACACACACATAAGGCAGCAGATGAACAATGTGAGGTTCGCAAGTGAACAGGGCAGAAAAATGGGGATCGTTAAAAATGACGACGTCTCGTAAGCAAGACAGCCTGACTCTTCAGGAACATGTCCGTAAAATATTGCTGGGTTCAGTTCTTAGGGAAAAAAAGGGAAAAACAAATATAAAAATCCAAAAATAAGAACCAGTTCCTCTGTGGATAGCGTGTATCATACAGTCAGCTGGACCAGTCGTGGTTTTCCCCCACAGTGCTCATACAGGTACCTTTTCCCAGTTAACAAGCTTAAAAGCAACACTGTCCCCGATTTTCATTACTAGTTAAAAAAAAAAGACAAAATTTACCTAGGTCTTATTCTTCGTTTTAACATTAATAGAACAACCTAACATCTTTCTACTTTATAAACAGACATTTTTACATCAAAATAACTAAGCATTATCACACTGCTAGTACCATTTTTAAATGAAACTACTTTACTTTAGTCCACAGAGCATCCATTACTACCAAGCATTAGTGGGTTTTGTACAAACAGTGCTAAGTTGATTTGAATCCATGAGGAAGCCATGGATTTGCACTGACCTTCTCTTCTCCACCGATGACGCCGGATTGAAGCTGTTGTAATCGCAGTCCGAGAGATCCTCGGCACTGTCGGAGTGACTTCCACTTTGAGGACTTTCTGACCTTCTTGAGAAGAATCAGGTGCATCAAATGGTAAGGAGTTTTTCATGGCATTGGCGACCTAAAGTGATAACATCAGTCTGTACAGATTTACAACCGACATACTACTTTACCTCTTCCATATGCATGTTCCCATTATTCTGAACATCCACAGATATACAATGTAGTATAATATAAAAGCACACGTGTCAGAAATGTTTATTTTCAATATTATATATTCTTTTTATTTTTTTGTGTGGTTTTTCGAGACAGGTGTTTCTCTGTAGCTTTGAAGCCTGTCCTGGAACTCACTCTGTACTAGGCTGGCCCCGAACTCACAGAGATCCGCCTGCCTCTGCCTCCCAATTGCTGGGATTAAAGGTGTGCACCACCACCGCCCAGCTGTTATCAATATTATATATTATTTTCAGCAGGAGTGCAGAAACGTGTTACTGTTTTATCACAGGTTAAGTTCTCTGTTATTATCACATGAAAAAGCAGGAATTCTAACTTGTTTTATATCTTAGTACAAATATTGAACATTTTTGTTTGGAATACTCTTTCCTTTTGAAACTCAGCAACTTCCAAAATCCAGTGTGTTATATGAGCCTGCTGAAAAAAATATATAATGTGGGTCTGGGTACAAGTTGAGCTGGTTGGTCCAGGCCACTGGGATGGCCCCATTCTGTCAAGGGGCAGAGCGAGCTCTCCCATGCCCATGGTGAGAGGTGAGGCCATCTCTCCCAGTGCAGAGGCGGCTCTCCTGCTACAGTGTCCAGGGACAAACAGGGCCAGGGACAGGCAGGGCCGCCCAGCATGCCTCATGGATTTCAGCAACCATTGCTCCCCTCTGTGACCCCTTGTGGCCTCTGATACAGTGTCCAGCAAGGGATGGGGCCAGGGACGGGCAGGGCCGCTCAGCATGCCACACGGATTTCAGCAACCATTGCTCCCCTCTGTGATCTCTTGTGACCTCACAGGCCATGGACATCACCACAGCTTTTTTTTTTTTTTCTAGACAGTGCTTCTCTGTGTAGCCCTGGCTGTCCTGGAACTCACTCTGTAGACCAGACTGGCCTTGAATCCAGAGATCTACCTGTCTCTGCCTCTTGGGTGTTAGGATTAAAGACAGTTACCACCACTGCCCACCTCTATAACTTTTCTATATAAAGGAAATAGTTAAGAATTTACATATTTCTGTGGAGAAAAATAATCTCCTTCAGTGACTACTTCATTTCTAAACTCTCCTAGTTTTGATAATAATAACAAAATGATTTCACACAAGATTAAACAGCCTTTCTTCTTCTCTACATCCGAGTAAAACTCAGGTGGCTGTCCCCCTTTAAGATAGCTTTACTGTCTGGAATAGCCAGTAGCTCACTGTGCAGCTGAGAACCTCCCGCACTTTGTGGCAATCTCCTGGTTCCGCTGGTATTTCCAGTGTAAACTACGACGCTCATCTTGGTCTTCTCTGTTCTTAAGGATTTCAAAATGTTTCATGTTTTCAATTTATCTCAACACCGCCCTGCCCTCTGCCCCTTGACAACACTGACCACATGCTTTAAGAAGAGTCAACACATGCCAGGCCGTGGTGGCACACACCTGTAATCCCAGCACTAGGGAGGCAGAGGCAGGTGGATCTCTGTGAGTTCCAGGCCAGCCTGGTCTACAGAGTGAGTTCCAGGACAGGTTCCAAAGCTATAGAGCAATCCTGCCTCGAAAAACAGAAACAGAAGAATCAACACAACTCCAGAACTAGGACCTAAACAAACCTCTACTCATCATGGAAAACAAATATAAAAAATGACTTACCAAGAGTGGCTGAGAAAAGAGCTCTAGCTGGGCTCTATAAATGATGTCATCAAGTACTTCCTGGCCAAGGTCCCACTGTCCATTATACCTGTGGGAGGCATTATTTAGTTCTTTCTTTCTTTCTGTTTTCAAGACAGGGTTTCTCTGCATAGCCCTGGCTGGCCTGGAACTCACAGAGATCCACCTGCCTCTGCCTCTCGAGTGCTGGGATTACAGGTGTGCTCCAGCATTGCTCTGCTATTTTGTACTTTTAATAGATATCTCTGACCTTCAGCACTTTAAAAGAAAATGGTTCCAAGTTCTACTTCTTTAGTTATAAAACAAAACTTACACTTTACATTTCATTGCTGAATGTATCCTATAGTTACTTATAACAAAATGAAGATTTCAGCTCTATGTTTCAAGTAGTTTAAGTTTCTTTAAACAAACTGGATTTTATCATGTGATGATATTCAGAGTAATCTCTTTAAAGTATTCATGATAAGAATAATGAACTATATGGAAATAATACAGATTGCATATAGGAAATTAAGTAGCTATGTTAAAAGTACTAGACAGACACTGTATTAGAAAAACAAGGTGGCAGACATATCGCGGAACTAAAGTCTCTGATAAAGAAGGAAAATCCCACGTGCAGAATTTATCTTCTTCCTACTCACATGGCATAGTACACGCCTGTGAGAAGCTGCACCATGAACTCAGGATCCAGCACTATCCGGCTGCAGACTTCCTTCCACTGCTTCTCCTGCTGCCGAGGAAACCCACTCACACAAACCCTGGAAGACAGTCGTTGAGAATGGTTTCCTGGTTGGCTGATCATAGACTTAACTCATCACTCTTCAGCTATCGGTGCCTGATAAACGCCAGAGTCGTGAACTGTAGAACATGCCTCATTTTCAATTTTTTAAAGCATGCCTTTATTCATAAAGCATGTATTTCATGAAGTGACAAGTTTCTCCAAACAGCTAACAATCTCTCTCACAGATATCTTTGTACCTATTCTCAAACATATACATACATACATAGCTTTTATCCATCCAAAATTGTAGTGGAGAATTACTAGATAGCACATACATCTTAAAACAGACATAGAAGAATACTGTTGCTCATGAGACCACAATTATTTGATGTTTTACGCAACCACTATTAAATGTGCACAACTGTTATCTACTCATTTTCTTTGCTGTGTAGTCCAGCACTGGACTGGAGACTCTCATGGCAGTGGGGCTGTTCCTTCCACAATTGATCCACCATGAGTAACCTCAAAACATCAAGGTCTGTTCTCCACACCTCAGCAGCACCTGTTCCCGGGTACTGCACACCAAGGACTTCTGGTGCTGTGGGACAATGGTTTTTTATCCTGTCACTTGTATTATTTTTAATAAAATGCTGATTAGCCAGGAGCCAGGCAGGAAGACCAGGCAGGAAGAAGAGGTGGGGCAAGAGAACAGGAGAATTCTGGGAAGAGGGAAGCTCAGTCTCCAGTCGTGACCCAACCACAGAGGAAGCAAGATGTGACTGCCTCACCGAAAAAGGTACCAAGCCACGTGGCTAACATAGACAAGAATAATGGGCTAATGTAAGTTATAAGAGTTAATAAGAAGCCTGAGCTAATAGGCCAATCAGTTTATAATTAATGTAGACCTCTGTGTGATTTCTTTGGGACTGAATGACAGCAGGGCGGGACAGAAACCTCAGTCAACATTTTGGTAGCTACTTGGCAGCATGAACTGCACTTTCCTTCTTTCCTTTTGAGACCCTGGCTGTCCTGGAACTCACAGAGATCCACCTGCCTCTGTCGCTGAGTGCTGGGATTAAAGACTGGGATTACTGCTCCTATAGCCAAGCTTGCCCTTGAATCTTCTACTTGCTGTTTATATATCAGTGTGTCCTTGTCCATTATGTTTAATTTTAAGATAACAGCTGATGCTAAATGAACTCTTTGGTCCTCTTTTAAGAAGGTGTAAGAGTGGTCATGATGCCAAATAGACTATGCTATCATCTCTGTAGGCAGTGATAACAAAGACCGTCGAAGCTCCTATTAGCCAAAATATCAAAACACCTGCCTTTTGTTTCACTGACTCATATAAACAGTGCTTCCAGGAGCAATCTGGTGTGCTGATAAATGACCCTAGACTTAGTGGACGGACCCGCCCCTTGTTCAGCTAGGCAACGTTCTATTGAGTGTTAAAATAAGCTTTTTTATCATTTTAAAATGTGTATATGTGTGTGTAAATGTTGTCTGCACATGTATATCTGTGTGTCAGTGTTTTGTCTGCACGTGTGTATCTGTGTGTCAGTGTTTTGTCTGCACGTGTGTATCTGTGTGTGTTTTGTCTGCACGTGTGTATCTGTGTGTAACTGTTTTGTCTGCACGTGTGTATCTGTGTGTAACTGTTTTGTCTGCACGTGTGTATCTGTGTGTAACTGTTTTGTCTGCACGTGTGTATCTGTGTGTAACTGTTTTGTCTGCACGTGTGTATCTGTGTGTCAGTGTTTTGTCTGCACGTGTGTATCTGTGTGTCAGTGTTTTGTCTGCACGTGTGTATCTGTGTGTCAGTGTTTTGTCTGCACGTGTGTATCTGTGAGTGTTTTGTCTGCACGTGTGTATCTGTGAGTGTTTTGTCTGCACGTGTGTATCTGTGTGTCAGTGTTTTGTCTGCACGTGTGTATCTGTGTGTCAGTGTTTTGTCTGCACGTGTGTATCTGTGAGTGTTTTGTCTGCACGTGTGTATCTGTGTGTCAGTGTTTTGTCTGCACGTGTGTATCTGTGTGTCAGTGTTTTGTCTGCACGTGTGTATCTGTGTGTTTTGTCTGCACGTGTGTATCTGTGTGTCACTGTTTTGTCTGCACGTGTGTATCTGTGTGTTTTGTCTGCACGTGTGTATCTGTGAGTGTTTTGTCTGCACGTGTGTATCTGTGTGTCAGTGTTTTGTCTGCACGTGTGTATCTGTGTGTTTTGTCTGCACGTGTGTATCTGTGAGTGTTTTGTCTGCACGTGTGTATCTGTGTGTCAGTGTTTTGTCTGCACGTGTGTATCTGTGTGTCAGTGTTTTGTCTGCACGTGTGTATCTGTGTGTCAGTGTTTTGTCTGCACGTGTGTATCTGTGTGTCAGTGTTTTGTCTGCACGTGTGTATCTGTGTGTCAGTGTTTTGTCTGCACGTGTGTATCTGTGTGTCAGTGTTTTGTCTGCACGTGTGTATCTGTGTGTCAGTGTTTTGTCTGCACGTGTGTATCTGTGTGTTTTGTCTGCACGTGTGTATCTGTGAGTGTTTTGTCTGCACGTGTGTATCTGTGTGTCAGTGTTTTGTCTGCACGTGTGTATCTGTGAGTGTTTTGTCTGCACGTGTGTATCTGTGTGTCAGTGTTTTGTCTGCACGTGTGTATCTGTGTGTCAGTGTTTTGTCTGCACGTGTGTATCTGTGTGTCAGTGTTTTGTCTGCACGTGTGTATCTGTGTGTCACTGTTTTGTCTGCACGTGTGTATCTGTGAGTGTTTTGTCTGCACGTGTGTATCTGTGTGTCAGTGTTTTGTCTGCACGTGTGTATCTGTGAGTGTTTTGTCTGCACGTGTGTATCTGTGTGTCAGTGTTTTGTCTGCACGTGTGTATCTGTGTGTAACTGTTTTGTCTGCACGTGTGTATCTGTGAGTGTTTTGTCTGCACGTGTGTATGTGTGTGTATGTCAGTGCAGTACCAGCGTTCTGAAGAGGACACGGGAACCTGTGGTCTGGATAAGCAGAGCTGCAGGCCACTGTGCAGATGAAGCCAGGGCTCTACCTACTGAGCAAGCCACCTCTCCAGACCCCTAAAATCATTCTCATTCCTGAGAACGTAAGCTCCGTGAATTTCATCTACTCTGTAGCAGACGTTAAACAGCCGGGCGGACAGGGTACCTCCCGAATGACCCTGTGACTATGATGACCGTGACCACTGCCCTTACCTGGAGCCCATCTGACACAGGGACTGGTAGGAGGAGGCCGGCATATACACAATGGCTGAGTTATAGCACAGCATGAGGAAGCTCAGGACCTCGAACCTAGAGCAACAACAACAACACACAATAGTAAATGATTTACTCACTAAATGGTTTTAACATCTTCATGATTTCTTCTTAATCAGGTTACTGTAGGAACCTCCTCTACAGTTTGTTTTATTCTTATTATGAACCATAGCCCTTGCTGTCACCAGTATTTTCTTTTTCTTTAGTGTTTTTTTTAATTTATTTACATTTTTTTTTTGTACATCAGTATTTTGCCTGCATGTATGTCTGTGTGAGGGTGTCAGATCCCCTGGAACAGGAGTTATAGACAGATGTGAGCTGCCATGTGGGTGTTGGGGATGAACCCCAGTCCTCTGGAAGAGCAGTCAGTGCTCTTACCCGCTGAGCAAGCTCTCCAGTCCTGCAGCACGTATCTGACTGGTTATACTAACCTTGTTTAATAGAGTTTGCTGAACTACTCCATAAGCAGAAACCATTTCCAGTAGGGGGAGCGGGGAAGAATCTGGTTACGGATGACATGGAGACATCACAAGGGTGCTGACCGCCTGCTGGAGCCCCCGGGATGAGGAGGGTGTGGCGCTGTGTGAGGAAGAGCCAGCTTTCTCCATGGACAAGCGTTAGCTGTCCAATCCCAGTGGGCAGGGCTGGATATGTGCATATGCAAGCAAATACTCAGTAGATTACATATACACAGGCATATACACACATACATCCGTATGTATATACAAGTAACAATAATAACGAGAGATTAAGAACTTGGGAGGTGGGACACGGAAGAGCTGGGGAGATGGGGAGGAGTGGTGGAGCCTTAGTATTGATTTTCAGATTTTGTAATGTGTGCCTTCTTTGGTGGTAAGACCCAAGTCTATAGCAGAAACTCATTTATGTTTCACGTGTACCACGCACACACATGACATTCTGCTGCTTGTGCTTCACCTCTGCCCCGCCACACAGACTGTGTGCGGGTTGTCCGCCTGTGCCACTGTGCTGTGCCCACCAGGTTTCAGAACAGGGTTTCTCTATGGAACATCTCTAGCTGTCCTGGAACTAGCTCTTGTGCACCTCTACCACCCGGTGCTGTGAAGTTTTTATTTTTTTACATTTATTTATTACATGTTTTTAAAAACTTATTTTAGATTTATTTTGTGTGTGGAAATTGCCAGCATGTGTGCATGTGTACAAGCATGCCTGGTGCCCGTGGAAGCAAGAGGAAGATGTCAGATCCCCTGGAACCGAGTTGCAGATGGTTGTGAGCTACCATGTGGGTGGTGGGACTGAACCCAGGTCCTCCGGGAGAGCGGCCAGCTTGCCCCAGCGATCCCACCTGCCCCACTATGCAGTTTGACCATTACCGGTTTTGCGCAGTGAAGGTCTCTCTCTGAGGATGAAGGTCACTGTAAACAACCCTGATGAGATCATGCTGACACAACGCCCCTTCTGTTAGAGCCATGGATCCAATTGTTGAGGGCTACGAGAAATAAGGTGTAGCATGAAATAATGAAGTAAAAAACTTGTATTGTGTAATCGTATTTAATTCTGTTTAAATAAAATGAAGTTTGAAATAAGTTTTTTCTGCTCAATGACGCTTTATGTTTTCTTTTGGAATTATGTGAAGACAGAAAATTTGAAAGATATCACTGCACTTTCTGAAATATTATGGAGTTACTCTGCATTTAAGAACAAGAAAAGCTGCTAAAACACTTAGGTTTTACATTCATATTTGTTTTGTATTCCAGAACACACAATACAACTACCTATACAAAATAAACAGTATTGAGACTATGATAAAAACTTCTTTAATATTCAATTTCTCACGTCGGACTTACTGTCACTACTATTCATTTTCTTTCATAACACAATACAAATAACTTAATTAAAATCTATTTCTCAGAAACATTATTATTCTATGTTAAAATGAATCTTGGTTGAATAGGAGATATACTATCTCTTTTTTGGTTTTTCAAGACAGGGTTTCTCTGTAGCTTTGGTCCTGTCCTGGAACTCACTTTGTAGACCAGGCTGGCCTCAAACTCACAGAGATCCGCCTGCCACTGTCTCCTGAGTGCTGGGATTAAAGGTATGCGTGCGCCACCACCACCTGGCTGAGACAAACTCTTTCTAACACAATGCAAAGTCTCAGGGGAATTAATTTTAAAAATTAATAGCTTCATTGAGACACAAAATAGACAGGTTAATGTGTGTTAAAAATAGAATATGATTTTTTTTGGATAAACTTTTTAAATGCCCACAATCTGACACGTCAAATGCCACTGAAGATGGTAAATTTGATTCATCACACATTTCCTTATTGGATGTTACTAAAGAAAGCTACTCGACATCAACATTTACCTATATAATCACGAGTGTGATCACAGTCTTCTCAGAATAAACATTTACCTATATAATCACGAGTGTGATCACAGTCTTCTCAGAATAAACATTTACCTATATAATCACGAGTGTGATCACAGTCTTCTCAGAATAAACATTTACCTATATAATCACGAGTGTGATCACAGTCTTCTCAGAATAAACATTTACCTATATAATCACGAGTGTGATCACAGTCTTCTCAGAATAAACATTTACCTATATATAATCACGAGTGTGATCACAGTCTTCTCAGAATAAACATTTACCTATATAATCACGAGTGTGCCCATAGTCTTCTCAGAATAAACATTTACCTATATAATCATGAGTGTGATCACAGTCTTCACAGAATAAACATTTACCTATATAATCACGAGTGTGATCAGTCTTCACAGAATAAACATTTACGTATATAATCATGAGTGTGCCCATAGTCTTCTCAGAATAAACATTTACCTATATAATCACGAGTGTGCCCATAGTCTTCTCAGAATAAACATTTACCTATATAATCACGAGTGTGATCACAGTCTTCTCAGAATAAACATTTACCTATATATAATCACGAGTGTGATCACAGTCTTCTCAGAATAAACATTTACCTATATAATCACGAGTGTGATCACAGTCTTCTCAGAATAAACATTTACCTATATAATCACGAGTGTGCCCATAGTCTTCTCAGAATAAACATTTACCTATATAATCACGAGTGTGCCCATAGTCTTCTCAGAATAAACATTTACCTATATAATCACGAGTGTGATCACAGTCTTCTCAGAATAAACATTTACCTATATAATCACGAGTGTGCCCATAGTCTTCTCAGAATAAACATTTACCTATATAATCACGAGTGTGATCACAGTCTTCTCAGGATAAACATTTACCTATATAATCACGAGTGTGATCACAGTCTTCTCAGAATAAACATTTACCTATATAATCACGAGTGTGATCACAGTCTTCTCAGGATAAACATTTACCTATATAATCACGAGTGTGATCACAGTCTTCTCAGGATAAACATTTACCTATATAATCACGAGTGTGATCACAGTCTTCTCAGGATAAACATGAGCAAAGCAAATATGTTATCCATGAGCTAGAATGTGCATTAGAATCCTTTATACTAAAAAATAACGGAGTATCGACATCCTTCTGAGTAATTATTTTACTAAAGAAAAATAAAAATGAATCAATCTAACAAAGATCACCAGTAAACAATATGAAAAAAAAAACAATTCTTCGAAAACTCATTTCAAAAACTGATTTAAAAAGATGAAAAAGAGTGGAGTGGTGGTGGTGCATGCCTTTAATCCCAGCACTCAGGAGGCAGGGGGTCTGGCGGATCTCTGTGAGTTCCAGGATAGCCAGGGCTGTTTCACAGAGAAACTCTGACTCAGAAAACAAAATGAAAAGCTGAAAATGACCTCGACGAGGGAAAACCCAGGAATAGACAAGAACTGGAGGAGATGTTTCCACTAAGCACTAACTCCCTGAACACAAGTTTGACACCACACAGAGCTACCCTAAAAAATGTGCTCCGCGTGGGCTGGAGAGGTGGTCCAGTGGTTACAGCACTGACTGCTCTTCCAGAGGACCTGGGTTCAATTCCCAGAAACCATATGGCAGCTCACAACTGTTAGTAATTCCAAGATCTGACACCCTGACACAGACAGACACGCAGGCAAAACACCAATACACATAAAATGAAAATAAAAATTTACTCCGCTAAAATTAGTTAATTTATTTAATGTGAGTGTATGCACATATGGAAGACAGAGGCAATTTGTGAGTCAGTTCTCTCCTTAAACTGCAGAGTCCAGGGAACAAACTCAGCTGTCAGGTTTGGTGACTGGAACCTGCATCTGTCAATCATCTGTTGGCCCCTTACCTGCTTCCCTGCCTCCCTCTCTGCCTCCCTCCTTCCTTTTATTAAATGTGTATGAGCGTTTTGCCTGTATGCAGGTCTGTGTGTCAGATGCATGCCTGGTACCCAAGGAGGCCAGAAGAGGGTGTCAGAGAACCTGGAACTGGACTTACAGGTGGTTGTGACTTACCATGTGGGTGCTGGGAATTGAACATGGATCCTCTGGAGGAACAGTCAGTGTTCTTAACACTGAGCCATCTGAGCTCACAACCAAAAGGAGAGGACTATGTATTAGGGACCTTGCATGGTGGTGTAAGCATTTCACTGGGAGACAGAAGCAGGTTTAGGAGTGCAAGGTCATCCTTGACAACCTGGTGAGTTTGGAGCCAGCCTGGGCTACGAAACATCATGTTTCAAAAACAGAGACAAAACAAAAAAGTACTCACAATCTTTACCTCTGGCAAAAGCTAGTCTTTCCTCTCCCTCTCAACACAATGTGAAACACGCCAGGTTCCCAACACTACTTACTTCGTGGTATATCGAGGGCTTGGACAAGGAGGGGATGGTGAAAGACAGTACTTTATTATTTCCATCTTTATCAGCAATTTCCTACAGCAAAAGTGCAAAACAACGAAACGTTAAGTCTAGCAAAATAAATAATAGTTACTTTCTTAACTAACAGAATAGACTATTGGTAATTGCAGGGGAGTTTTAGAAACAATAGCACATGAAAATAGTATTACTCTATCACACCCTTTCAAATTTACTAGCAAACCAGTGTATGTGTGTCGGGAGCTGTTACCCACAGAGATACTGAGCACAAATTACATTACATAATATCCAACATGACAGCAAGGGCAAGAAGTGGGTGTACACAGAACAGGAAGGTCAAAAGTGACTAGATTCTAGAGGGCAAAATACTGATCAGAAATATGGGTCATTGAAACATAAATAAAACCGAGAGATGCACACTTACTGAAATAACACATTACTATTACATAATGAATTGTTTGCCGGCTTTACTGAGCTATAACTGACAGAATTTACATATATTTCTAGTGCATGTGACGTTTTGATACATTTACATTGTGAATGATTACCATCAGCAAACTTACTCAAATATCAGTGCAGCAGTTACCATTTTCATGGTGACATCTTAAGATTGAATACCGATTATAAGAAAATGATAGTAACTCAGAATGAACTACCAAATTGTGATGAGTTCCATGTTGACAATATTAGTGTAAATGGTTAAGAAATAAGACTTAGATTCAGATAATTTCTACTGAATTGTGCAAATTCTTCTGCGTTCTTGTTTGTTTGAGACAAGGTTTCATTCAGTAGCCTAGGGCGCCCTGGAACACAATACGTATTTCTGGCAGACTTCAAGTTTGCACTTCGGTTTACTGAGTAGTGAGGTCAGAAATATGTGCCGCTATACCTGCTGCCCCCACCCAAAGGGTCTCACTGTACTACTGCAGCCTGACTTGTTTCGTAGTTCAGACTGGCCTGGAAGCAGAATCTTGCCTTTGACTCCCAAGCTGGGATTAAGGTATGAGTCACCACGCCCATTCTTTTCTGTGATTTTAAAAGCTTTTCCAGACTGGGTTTCTCTGTGTAGTCCTGTCTGTCCTGGAACTCGCTCTGTAGACCATGCTGGCCTTGAACTTACTGAGATCTGTCTGCCTCTGCCTCCAAAGAGCTAGAATAAAAGGACCACCACCACCTGGCTTTTTTTTTTTTTTTTAAGAAAAAACACTTGTAGCCAGGCAAGCTGGTCTACAAAGGAAAAGCACAGGAACACAGATGTTCTTCCTCCCTCTAGTCCTCAGGTGTCAGTCCTTCTCTCCACACCAGCAGGAGGAGCTGCTGCTGCTTCACCTCATCCCACTGCCTTCTGTCTGTTCTAAGGATCACTCAGGCGGCATGGAACCCACACAGATGCTCCCATTGGACCCTATGGTAGAGGACAATCTAAGTCAGAGGACAGACAGACACGGTGCTGCAAACCTGTAGCCTGGGCTTAGGCTCACCAGAAGCTAACAGGTCAGATTCAGATACAAAAGCTTTGAAGCCAGACTAGAATACTTGAGATCCTGTCTCAAACAACAAAACCAAAACAAATCTCAAACAAAACAACAAAAAATCCCAATCGCTTGGGCATAGTGGTCCTACCCTTTGAACACCAGCACCTGACTGAGGCAGGGGAATCCCTATGAGTTTGAGACCATCCTGGTCTACATAGTAAATTCAAGGCCAGGCCCTGTCTCAAAAACAACTGGGTTAGCTTTTCACTAACAAACAAACAAGACACCTTTAAGTTTTCTGAGGTCCCATTTAAAAACAGATCTACGACGAGATCCAGTCACACCGCTCTACCAGAGACATCTGCTCACCCACGCTCACTGCTGCTCTATTCATTCTGATGTGGGAGGCCAGCCCCACCCTTCCTGGGTGATTCACCCTGGGCAGTGGTCCTCACACTGTAAGGAAGTGGGCTGAGCAAGCCCTGAGGAGCAAACCAGTAAGCAGCATGCTCCACGGCTGCTTCATCAGTTCCAGCCTCCGGCTTCCTGCCCTGACTGCCCTGGATGATGGACCACAAGACACTGTCAGGTGAAACAGACCCTGCCCTCTTCAGCACAGCCACAGAAACCCTGACTAAGACAATTATTTCTTCCTACAATCTCACCTACTCTCAGTAGAAAGTGATCAAAAGTGTTCCTTTTCAGATACCATTTCCTAAGGAAAGCTGTAGTAACTTTGGTAATATTTAATTTCTCATACTCTTTTCTATACCCACTCTGCATTATCTACGGCTACGTCTTCTCAAGTGGAGAAGTTTCCCTACAGCAGGTAGCTCACTTCAGTATTCAACTTGTTCCTTATGAAAAAGGGATTCATAAACACTGGTTCAAAAAATGCTTTGAAGTAAATCATCTGATCTAACAATAGTATCAATTATAACTTCATCAAATTTATAAAAAACATTTCTAACAAATGTTTATATTCAATGCAAAAATTATTCAACAGACATTTCAATTTGTTTTTCTCTAAACAATCTTCAAATATTTCAGAGGATTTCGACAATATTTCAAATATCCTAAACACCACTTTCAACTCACCAAATTATAAATTCCTAGGAGAAGAGCTTCAATGCAGCCATTACTCTGTCTGTCTCTGCTAACTGTAAGTCGCAAATAAACCCACATCAGCTCGGGCAGGAACTGCAGTGTGAACCTCTTGAGCCGGACTTCTGAGCTACGATAGAGCTCAAACAGCTGGTGGCAGACAGGCTCCAGGAGCTAAAGGGAAACAGAGAAGCATTATTTCCATGGCTTGAGCTGTAACTATGTTTCTTAAAAATGTACTTTTATATAGTATTTAGAAAATAAATTCTTCTTAAAATTAATTCCTCCATGTATGAGCTAATTCAAAATCGCTTTAATAGACTACATATTAAACGGCCAAACCTTGAACTAATTACTTTAGTACCAAATACTATTACTGTACTTTTGATTTACTAGGCTACTAAATTTATTAGCTAAGTAGTCTGTTTGCCAAATACTTTTATTTGGTGAGCTTCACTGTCTGTTCTTACCAAGCCCTTCTAGTCTATATTTTGTTTTTTACATTTATGTATGTAAGCATGTATGAGTGGGGTACTGTCATGCCATGGCACACTTATGGAGAACAACCCTGTGGGTCTAGTCCTCGCCTCCCGTCACATGAGTTCCAGGATCCACCTCGGCTGCAAGTGCTTTTATCCAGAGTCATCTCACTGGCTCATCTTCCATTTTAAGAAATTTCTTCTTAATTAAAATAACTTGAAATTTCAAGTAAAGCCATGATTTAGGTTATATCTCACTCATTAGATTAGATTTTATAAACAATGATACGGGCATCTAAAATCCTAGCTAACATATTTTAAATACCTACGGGGAAGAAGAAAAGATTTGAGACCTCACTAATTATACTTATTGGGCAAAGGTCCTGCTGCACAAGCACAAGGACTGGAGTTCAGATGCCCAGCGCCGATATAAAAACTGAAGCTAGCCGGGCAGTGGTGGCACACGCCTTTAATCCCAGCACTCGGGAGGCAGAGGCAGGCGGATCTCTGTGAGTTCGAGGCCAGCCTGGTCTACAAGAGCTAGTTCCAGGACAGGAACCAAAAGCTACGGAGAAACCCTGCCTCGAAAATACAAAACAAAACCAAAAAAACAAAAAAAACTGAAGCTAGCGTGGCATGGGGAGGGAGGTAAGCAGACTCCCCAGGGCTTACGGGCCACACAGCCCAGCTATGACAGCAAGCTCTAGATTCACTGAGAGGCCCTATCTCAGGAGACAGGGGGAGAGGGCTAGATGCCAGTGCTCGCTCGCTCACACACACACACACGCACACACACACAAGCACATACATGCATTCTAGATTCAGTGAGAGGCCCGACTTCAGGAGACAGGGGGAGAGTGCTAGTGGCCAGTGCTCACAATCTACTGCTGGTGTGCACACACGCACACACAAGCACAAACACACACACAGAGATAACACAGGCACACACACACAAACACACACGCAATTCTGAAAGGAAAAAAGTGCATATATAAATATGTTTTTCAATGCTAATTATTCTTGTATTACTACATGAAATGACTTGAGAGACCTCAAGATGGTAAAAACTAAATAAAATGAGCAATCCCACCCACTGCCAATTTAAAATGGTTCCACTCCTGCTAACCACAGACTGTACACACCTGGCTGACTTTTAACTACATACTGAAGACTGATAGAAACTAAACTTTTTTTTTAAGTTCTTCAAGACAGGGTTTCTCTGTGCAGCTCTGGCTGTCCTGGAACTCACTCTGTAGACCAGGCTGGCCTCAAACTTACAGAGATCCACCTGCCTCTGCCTCCCAAGTGTTGGGATTATGCAGAATATGGTGTCAAAGAAAATATAAAATGAACAGATTCAACTCAACGCCCATCAAAATCCCAGCAAAATTCTTCAAAGACCTCGAGAGAACTGTACTCAACTCCATATGGAAGAGCAAACATGCAGGATAGCCAAACAATCCTGTACAATAAAAGAACTTCTGGAAGCATCACTTCAAACTTTACTACAGAGCTACAGTACTGAAAACAGCCTGGTATTGGCATAAGAACAGACAGGAGGACCAATGGAACCAAATAGAAGACCCAGATTTCAATCCACACATCTTTGAACACCTGATTTTTGACAAAGAAGCAAAAAATATCAAATGGATAAAAGAAAGCATATTTAACAAGTGGTGCTGGCATAACTGGATATCAACATGTAGAAGAATGAAAACAGACCCATATCTATCACCATGCACAAAGCTCAAGTCCAAAAGGATCAGAGACCTCAATATAAAGCCAGCCACACTGAACCTCATAGAAGAGAAAGTGGGAAGGACACTTTGAATGCATTGACACAGGAGACCACTTCCTAAATATAACCCCAGTAGCACAAACACTGAGAGAAACAATATATGGTACCTCCTGAAACTGAGAAGCTTCTGTAAAGCAAAGAACATGGTCAACAAGACAAAACGACAGCCTACAGAATGGGAAAAGATCTTCACTAACCCCACATCAGACAGAGGTCTGCTCTCCAAAATATACAGAGAACTCAAGGAATTGGACACCAAAAGATCACATAATCAAAAAAAAAATGGTGTTCAGACCTAAACAGAGAACTCTCAACAGAGGAATCTAAAATGGCTCAAAGACACATAAGGAAATGTTCAACATCCTTAGTCATCAGAGAAATGCAAATCAAAACAACTCTGAGATTCCATCTTACACCTGAAAGAATGGCCAAGATCAAAAACACTGATGACAACTTATGCTGGAGAGGTTGTGGGGAAAGGGGAACACTTCTGCATTGCTGGTGTTGAGTGCAAGCTGGTACAGCCCCTTTGGATGTCAGTGTGGCGATTTATCAGAAAATTAGGAAACAACCTTCCTCAAGACCCAGTAATGCCACTTTTGGGTATATACCCAAAGGATGGTCAATTGTGCCACAAGGACTTGTGCTCAATTATGTTCATAGCAGCTTTGTTTGTCATAGCCGGAACCTGGAAACAACCTAAATGCCCCTAGACCGAAGAATGGATTAAAAAAAAATGTGGTACATTTACACAATGGAGTATACACAGCAGAAAAAAATAACGACATCTTGAATTTCGCAGGAAAATGGATGGAACTAGAAAACATTATTTTGAGTGAGATAACCCAGACACAGAAAGACAATCATCACATGTACTCACTCATAGGTGGTTTTAAAACATAAAGCAAAGAAAACCAGCCTACAAACCACAATCCCAGAGAACTTAGACAACAATGCGGACACTAAGAGAGACTTACATAGATCTAATCTACATGGGAAGTAGAAAGTAGAAAAAGTCAAGATATCCTGAGTAAATTGGGATCATGGGGACCTTGGGGGAGGGTTGAAGGGGGGAACAGATAAAAATGTACAGCTCAATAAATATCAAGTAAAAAAAAGAAAAAAAGATCGTTAGCCCCCCCCCCCCCCTAAAAAAAAAAAAGAAAATATAAAATGAACAGAGGGGACTTAACAGAGTGGAAGACTCAAAATGAAAGAACCACCAGGGTGACTGGGGGGTGGGGGTCCTGTTAAATTGAGAAAGAAAAAGCAGTACTGTTGGTGTACAGGTTAAGGGTTAAGTTATAATGGCCGGGCGCTGGTGGCGCACACCTGTAATCCCAGCACTCGGGAGGGACAGAGGCAGATGGATCTATGAGTTTGAGGCCAGCCTAGTCTACAGAGTGAGTTCCAGGACAGTCTCCAAACCTACAGAGAAACCCTGTCCTGAAAAACAAACAAAACAAAACAAATAAAAGTTAAGTTATAACATAGGTAGTCACAATATGCAAAATTAAACTCTAAAAGTTCATATCAACGACTTTTATTTATGTCTTTAAAGCAGCATTGCTTTTAAGACTGTCCTAAGTTCAGTTCCTATTAAATAGAGCATGGCCATTTTCTGAAATAACATCTCGGTAGCACATCTGACGATGCTTCAGGATACAATAAGATCAGGACCTAAGTCGCACCTGTCTATGACTACTGTGCACAACAGTTATGAGGTCCCTGGGTTTTCAGACGTCTGAATTAAAACCTTCTGATTTGGCAATAATAAGGGTGGAACCCAGACCTGCCCCTGCAGGTTCATAATGACAACAAATGCCAAGTCTCCAGCCTGGATTTCTCCAGCTGAGGTTTCCATTTTGACCCATGACCTTGCCTCATGTGTTATTATAAAGCACAATAACATACAATAGTCTGAAAAATTTTAAAAACGTCTTAAGTTTTTTTAAAAATGAGAACACTTTTCATATCTTTGAGTACTGAATCTAAAGATTTAGTACTAGAATCATTTTGCATTTAATTGTTTTCTGATCAATATTTACTTTTATTTACACTTAACCCCTGAACCACATCCCAAGCACACATTTACTACTTATTCATTACATACATGATAAACAGTTTATACGACCGCTGCCCATGAAGAGCTTACAATCTAAAGAGAAATGCATAAAACAAATAATTTTTAATAAGCAAAGCTTAAATGTTAGGCAGTGCAAGATGAGGGGCAGGGCGTACACATCATTATTTAGAAAATTTCAAACACTCCTGACTAAAGATGTGTGTGCCCGAGTGTGTATCCGACCAACGCACCGACACACACACAGCCCGCCTCTGAAGTTTTAACAGTTCAGTAATACATTGCAGGAGAAAAAGCAGCAGATGCAAGTCTGAGAGCCAGTCCAAACACAGGAGACGGGAAGGAGGAGGTCAGTAAGCAAGCTTTTAGTGAGAAGACAAAATAGGGATGCACTCTCAGTTAGGCTGCCGGTTAGAGACGGTTACCTGCCGGGACTTCTTCAGCTCGCTGCAGTGCACAGCAGAGGCACTCTGGGAGGCTGTATCTGGGAAGATAAGAAGCTACTTTCCTGTGTGCTCCTTTCATTTTCATGTTAAAGCATACATGAATCCAGTGGATAAATTACCTGTCACTGTGTGCATCTGGTCTAAGCTAACAGACAGACTCGGCTGCTGCACTTTCTACTGTCTACCACAGAGTGAGTCACAGTGAACTGTTATTCTAAGTTACTGATCTTCACAATTTAGGTCCCCAAAAGCACTTCCTCTGGTAACTTCCAGGAGAGCTTAATAAACAGCATAATTTTGTGTTATCGGTTCACAGCTGATCAGAATGCTTGTAAATATCTCTACAGTATTAAGAAATTAAAAGTAAATGATATTAAAATAAAGAAGGCTGAATCCGTATACCATTAAGATTTGTTTTCCAGAGAAGGAACACTCCAGAACACACACAAAAAACTATACATTAAATACACAATCATGGAGATGAGGGTGACTGCAGCTGAGAACCAACCAGGAAAAGAGACCAAGGCATCTTCAAATGTAAGAAGATGGGGCGGGGAAAGCCAAAGCAACTACCAGAGGGAGAGCGAAGAGCGGCTTTCTAGACCCACGGGGAGAGAGAAACTGGACAAAGCTTCACCTTACTATTTGGAGTTTACTGTTTCAAAGGCCTCCTACCTCATTGTTCGAGTCCTGAATGACTTTATAGAGCGCAGGGACAAGGGGCTTCTTCCGGTGTAGAGTCGCTGCATAACTGGTGATCTGAGTGTCAGGTAGTGCCTAAGATGAAACCAAGGAACAGCAACATGGATTTCACATTTAGGAAACACGTTTCTTTTACATGGGTGCTACTTGATAAAAGAAGAGACAAATAAGAAAATTTAAAGTAATATAATTAATATCAAGTAATTAACATACAAATAACTGTTTAGCCACAAAATGATTACAAGTCCCATATCTTCACTGTACCGTCATCGAGCCTAAAAGAGAGCAGGATACATGCCTTACTTGTACTCATACTTTTACAAAACACACTTCATAAGTCTACATTACATAGTTTTCTACCAAAACTACTTGACTTTAAGTCATTGGAAATCAAAGCAGAAAACAAATATTATCATTAAAACTTGAAGACTTCAGTCATCTACTGGACATATTTTAATCACAACTATTTTTATTTCTATGTAATTCTTTTGACCTTATTCATATTAGTTATACTCGAAAAGAGCACCAATAAAGAAGCACAATTCCACACTCTGCAACTTCTACTTAGAAGCACATTGCAGGACCCCGATGGGCGGATCAGTGCCATTAACCCTGGACACGGTACCACTGGACACGGTACCCTGGACACGGTACCCCTGGGACATGGTACCCCCGAACACGGTACCCTTAGACACAGTATCCTGGACACAGTACCCCCAGGACACAATACCCTGGACACAGTACCCCTGGACATGGTACCCTTAGACACGGTACCCTGGACACAGTACCCCCAGGACACAGTACCCTGGACACGGTACCCTGGACACGGGACCCCTGGGACATGCTACCTCCGGGACATGGTACCCTTAGACATGGTACCCTTAGACATGGTACCCCTGGACATGGTACCCTTAAACATGGTACCCCTGGACACGGTACCCCTGGACATGGTACCCTTAGACATGGTACCCCTGGACATGGTACCCTTAGACATGGTACCCCTGGACATGGTACCCCTGGACATGGTATCCTTAGACACGGTACCCCTGGACACGGTACCCCTGGACATGTTACCCTTAGACATGATACCCCTGGACACGGTACCCCTGGACATGGTACCCCTGGACATGTTACCCTTAGACATGGTACCCTTAGACATGGTACCCCTGGACACGGTACCCCTGGACATGGTACCCCTGGACACGGTACCCCTGGACATGGTACCCCTGGACATGGTACCCCTGGACATGTTACCCTTAGACATGGTACCCTTAGACATGGTACCCCTGGACACGGTACCCCTGGACATGGTACCCCTGGACACGGTACCCCTGGACATGGTACCCCTGGACATGGTACCCTTAGACATGGTACCCTTAGACATGGTACCCTTAGACATGGTACCCCTGGACACGGTACCCCTGGACATGGTACCCTTAGACACGGTACCGCTGGACATGGTACCCTTAGACATGGTACCCCTGGACATGGTACCCTTAGACATGGTACCCCTGGACACGGTACCCCTGGACATGGTACCCTTAGACATGGTACCCCTGGACATGGTACCCTTAGACATGGTACCGCTGGACACAGTACCCTGGACATGGTACCCTTAGACATGGTACCCCTGGACACGGTACCCCTGGACATGGTACCCCTGGACACGGTACCCTTAGACATGGTACCCCTGGACATGGTACCCTTAGACATGGTACCCCTGGACATGGTACCCTTAGACATGGTACCGCTGGACACGCTACCTTGAACTCTGACAGCCACTCTTCCACCACAGCTCGCTCGGACCCCAGCATCTTTCTCTAGTCTTCTGTTATCTGAAATGTAAGACAGTATTACCTACAGAGATTACCAAAGGTCTGTAATATATCCATCTCACTAACCAAGACACTCAGCTGTATTTCAGAGAGAGGCTTCTACTCGGTTTGAAGTGCAATTAAATTTTTTCAAAAATAAATCCTACTTTTAAATGATAGGACCAGAACCCATTGTCTTCCCGCCTTCACTCTCCACACTCCAACGTGGCAAAGGAGGTGTTCTTAAATCAGATATATCTACAATCTCAGTAATGAGAGACCGAGGCAGGAGGACTGCAAAGTGGAGGTCAGCTCAGGTTCTGAACAAGCCTGAGCTACAGGGCAAGACGCTGTATCAACAAAACAAACTGAAAACTGCAGTGGCCAAGTGAAATCCAATAACACCATGGAAGACAAACATACAGAGCAAGTTACACACAACAGAACCAACCTAGTAACAAAATATAAATATCAAGTCTAGAAAGAGCAAGGGTTGGGGCTGAAGAGATGGCTCAGAGGCTGAGAGCACTGGCTGCTCTTCCAGAGGTCCTGAGTTCAATTCCCAGCACCCACATAGAAGCTTACAACCATCTGTAATGAGATCTGGTGCCCTCTTCTGGCCTGCAGGCAAACACGCAGAGTACCACACACTAAATACACACACACATACATACATACATCTTAAAAAGAAAAGAAAAAGCAGCCAAGTGGTTGTGGCGCACGCCTTTAATCCCAGTACTTGGGAGGCAGAGGCAGGCGGATCTCTGTGAGTTCGAGGCCAGCCTGGTCTACAAGAGCTAGTTCTAGGACAGGCTCCAAAGCTACAGAGAAACCTTGTCTCGAAAAACAAACAAACAAACTGGAAAACTGATAACAATATATGCATTATGCAAAATAAATCAGATTCTTAAATTTTCTAAGACAAAAAATGCCTTATTAGCAAAATCAAATTGAATAATAGTCTGTAAATTATAATTCTAATTAAAGTTTACATTTTTTAAAAGCTTGGAAACAAGCATATGCTCAACTCTTAAGTGCTTGCCATTGAGGGTAGTCTAACACATTTAACTTGATAAAAATGAGACACGTTGAACTTTCAAATGAAAACGAAGCAAAACCCCAAAGCTTTCTTCACTCAAAAGGAAGAAGTAAGGAAAAATAGGACACTAAGAACAGACCCCAAGGACGTGGAGCTGTCTGTGAGAGCGCAGAGAAGCGCTTCTGTGTTTGCCACACCTCATGCCACTCAAAAGATTTTTTATTTTTTTTGGTTTCCTGTCCTGGAACTAGCTCTGTCTCGAACTCACAGAGAACCGCCTGCCTCTGCCTCGAGTGCTGGGGTTAAAGGCATGCACCACCACCGCCCAGCTCACTCAAAAGATTAACCAGAGCAACTTGTAGACGTGTGTGTGTGTGTGTGTGTGTGTGTGTGTGTGTGTGTGTGTGAGAGAGAGAGAGAGAGAGAGAGAGAGAAAGAAAGAGAGAGAGAAGAGAGAGAGAGAACCTTAACCACATTTTCCCCACACTGTTCGCTGCTACTCCCCTAAATACAAGATCTCTGATTTAAGATTCCACAAGGACCTTAGAATATGTGTACGATGGAGCATTGCATCAAGTGCTGAAATAAAGAACAGGAAAAAAGAAAAAGAGTTGCCATGGTGATAGTGTGTCTTCTTAGCAATAAAACCCTACTTAAGACACTGGGTGCTAAGGATGTTGTGTATTACGTGTTTGTGTTGTCAACTCAATTCACACAGGAGGGAACCTCAACTGAAGAAAAGCTTCTGACAAAATGGTCTGTGGGCTGTTGTCTGTGGGACATTTTCTTGACTGTTAATTGGTGGAGATTTCAGGCCCCTGTTGGAGGTAGGTACCATCCCTACTCAGGTGGGCCCTGCATGTGTAAGAAAAGTAGCTAGCTGTGAGAGACACTTCACGCAGGCTAGGAAGCCGCTTCCTCTGTTGGTTTCTGCTTCAAGCTCCTGCCTTGAATTCCTACCTCGCTTCCCCCAATGATGATAAAGTTTAAGATGAAATAAAACCTTTCCTTCCCAGGTTGCTTTTAGTCATGGTGTTAATGAAAGCAACCCAAACCAAACTAGTCCAGCCTCACCGAGACCATGTTTCGATACAGACATATAAAAAAAGGGGGCAGAGGAAAGCAGAAGAGTAAATCAGATGCAAATATTTAAACATACATCCACATGATTTGTCTCTGTATGGGCTATGTTCACGTGTGCACATGTACCCTAGGGGGTCAAGAGAGGGCGTCAGATCCCTGGGGCTGGAATTACAGGTGGCTGTGAGCACCAGATGTGGGAGCCAGGAACCAAACTCAGGCCTCCTGCAAGAGCGGTGTGCACACTTAACCACGGAGTCACCTCTCCAGCCCCTTGCACTGAATATAACTAAAATATGACTGACCGGCCGGGCGGTGGTGGCACATGCCTTTAATCCCAGCACTCGGGAGGCAGAAGCAGGCGGATCTCTGGGAGTTCGAGGCCAGCCTGGTCTACATAGAGCTAGTTCCAGGACAGACTCCAAAGCCACAGAGAAACCCTGTCTCGAAAAAACAAAAAAACAAAAAAACAAAACAAAAAAAAATATGACTGACCTTAAGTTGATAGCCATTTTGTTTAGTAAACAATACACAAAGTTCATTATATTATTCTATCTACTTTGTTACAACCTGGAATTTCTTACAATGAATAAAAACTGAAATACTGATAAATGGAATCTACAAATATACAATTCTGATGTAAGAGATAGAAAACAAGGCTCTTACAGTTATTTTCTTACTTATTTTTGTGGATGGGGCTATGGATTGTACATTCAGAGCAAAACTACGAATCCCTGCTTCAGGAAAAAAGAACTAGGGCTCAGGACACAGCTCTGTTGCTAGAGTGCTTGCCTAGCATGATCCAGCACAGACTGGTAAGAGACGTGTTCTGGCCTATACAACGTACATGTTTGGAAGAGTTACTTCTCTGTCACCTCAAACTCCTTGTTTGAGGACAATGAAGGTATCTATGATAAAAGGTTTTTTAGTTTTTACTTGTTTTTGAGACGTGGTCTCAACTGTGAAGCCTAGTTGGCCTGAAACTCTGTGTTGACTAGGTTGACCTTGAATGAGAAATCCTCCTGTTTTTACTTCTCCAGTGCTGGGATCAAAGGCATGTTGCCAGTATATTCAACTGTCAAGAGATTTTTTATTTTTAACATAATAAATAGCACACAAGGTCTTAGAACAGTGTTTGGCACATATCCTTATGTTAGCTGTTACAATTATTTAAGTTCTTGACAACTCAAGAAGCATTTTTATTTTGTGCATAATAATTATTGATTTATTATTAGAAATATTGTTGAATAAAATGCTAAGGATTAAAAGAAAATAAGAACTCTCAAGAGATTCAAGGGAATCAAAATTATAAATAAACAAGGCTACAGAATTACCAGTTTAACATGAGACAGTAATAAATGTTACTGCAAATTCTTAAGCTTGGTTAAAAAAATATTGGGGGCCAGGCATGGTGGCGCACAGCTTTAGGTCCAGGCATGGTGATGCACACCTTTAATCCCAGCATTCAAGAGGGAGAGGTAGGCAGCTCTCTGAGGTGAAGGCCAGCCTGGTCTACAGAGACAGTTCCAAGATAGACAGGCTACACAGAGAAACCCTGTACTGAACCCTCCCAAACTCCCCACAAAACAGGAAAAAAAAATATGAAGATATTTCAAAGTGTATGTCTAAATCTTAGATTAAGGCAGTTGTTATTAAATTCTCTAAGGCCAAACTCAAAACTGTACTATATGATATAGTAGATCTAAGCTGAAAATGGCTATTTAAATTAATTCAAAATTTATTTTCCTACTTTCTGGGAAAGACAGAAATTAGACCTATTCTATGTTACAATAAAATGTGGGCTCAGGGGACTGGAGAGATGGCTCAGAAGTCACACGAGCACACCCCACTCTGGTAGAAGACTTGAGTTTGGTTCCTAGCACCCATGTCAAGTGGCTCATAACCACCTCTGACCCTAGCTCTAGAGGATCTGTCGCCTGTGGTCTCCTCAGGAACCTGCAGTACACAGTTAAAAAGGATCTTCTTTAAAACGTAGATCTAGTTATTTTACGAAGGAAGCTGAGACCAATTATCCTCCGGAATGACCTTTATTCAGAGAGAATTCTCATGACCACAGATCTCATGACCTTAACGTCAGGAGTAATTAGGAGAGGAGCATCAGAGACAAATGGCAGGGTCTTGGAGGAGAGGGAGGCCTCCTTTCAAACACGGGGGAGTGCCAGAGAGGTTTACGGTAAAGTGGGTAAAAGCATTTGCTGCTGAGCCTGAAGACCTGAGTTCAATCTTCAAAACCCGCATGGTGGAAGGAAGAGAACTAACTCCCTAAGGTTGTGTTATGACTGTCACATAAGTACATAATGTGCACCCCTTGCCCTGCCAGGAAATGAATTAATATATATTTTTAAAAGACATAGAAAAGAGCTTCATTAAGAAAGACAGGGTAGTAGAAAAGTGAGAGGTGATAAATGTGGGGTGGCGATGTGGGGTTCCCCTCTGCATGCTGTGACTAGCATTGGTGAGTACAGAAACTGTCTTCAGCCTGTGATAGAACAGAATAGAGGCAGGTGGGAGAAAGGAGGAGGAGTCAGGAGATGTTGGGAACGAACAAGCCGGAACCTTGCTGGTAAACCACAGGCACGTGGCAATACTCAGATTAATAGAAATGGGTTAAATTAAGATGTAAGGGCTAGCCAGTAAGAAGCTAGAGCTAATAAGCCAAGCAGTGATTTAATTAATAAAGGTTCTGTGTGGTTATTTCAGGGCTGAGCAGACAGGAACAAGCAAGCAGCCTTCCTACAACAAGGTAGGATGGGGTGGGGTGTGGATGTGTAGGGGAGCTGAAGGAGAAAGACAGCCTTCAGACATATGCCCTGAACAATGGAGATTTCCTGACCTTTCTAGGGTTTTCAGGGATGATCAGAAGTTTTAGCATGTTTAGTCTGACAGACCTATGTGCTATAATGGTTGGGTACTGGGTGAATTTTCCTTGTAGCTTCAAGGGGGAGGGTGGGCTTACTTATCTCCTCCTCTGTTCCCCAAGACTTCATAGCAGGGGCCTGCCAGCTGCAAGGGGCTGAGGCCTGATTTCTAAGGGTCTGTGATCTGACAAATGTACCTTGGACAGTTCACTGTCTTTACTGATGACTTCACTTCATAAGACAACCTGTTGTGTACGCCATAAAAACAGTACTTCCTGGGGCTGGAGAGATGGCTCAGAGGTTAAGAGCATTGCCTGCTCTTCCAAAGGTCCTGAGTTCAATTCCCAGCAACCACATGGTGGCTCACAACCATCTGTAATGAGGTCTTGTGCCCTCTTCTGGCCTTTGGGCATACAGACAGAATATTGTATACATAATAAATAAATAAAAAACAGTACTTCCTGTGGTGCTAGAGAACCTAATGTTGGTTATCCCGCCCTCCTGATGTGGATTCATTCAGATACAGAACTGCAACTCAGGACACCATCCCAGCCGAGCTCATTAGTCCTCATGGGAGGAGACAGTAAAGGAATACACACACAGCCAGAGTGCCGGTCCTCAACCAGGCTGAATTCCGAAACCTACGTGTCTGCTCCCCACAGCACCCACTCCTGAGTCTGCAGCATGTGACTGCTAGGTTCTGGGACGGCAAGCCTGTGTCTGTGCTGACTCACAGCTGGCAGGGGTGTAAGGTTGGTGGCACTGAGCCCCCTTGCCTGCAGTCACGCTGGAGTCTTCGTAAAGCTGGCTTTTTATCGGGATGCTGGGTCTGGCTCAGACTCCATGCAGCACAAGCACTGTCTTTCCGAGTCTTCTTCTTCCTTCTCCCTACTCTGAGCACTGTCAATACGAGGCTTTCCGAGTCGTCTTCTTCCTTCTCCCTACTCTGAGCACTGTCAATACGAGGCTTTCCGAGTCGTCTTCTTCCTTCTCCCTACTCTGAGCACTGTCAATACGAGGCTTTCCGAGTCGTCTTCTTCCTTCTCCCTACTCTGAGCACTGTCAATGAGGCTCTCACTTACACATCCCTGCCAGCATTCCTGAATTCCAACCGTCTTCCCAGGTAGATTCATTCCCCGTTCTCTTCCTGACCTGACTTGGCATGAGTTTTCCATGAAAACTGTGGAATTGTTGAGGTGTGTGCAGGATCTTAGATTAAAGCAAAACAGATTTGGGAATGAGTATTTTTTTGGGTTCTCTCTTCTCTTCCAGTCCCCTCTCTGTCTAGCTAAAAATGACCTTTGACCTCTGAATCCTCCCAAGTGGAATTACAGGCAAACAAAACAACACTGGCTTTGATTTTATGTATTTTGCACATCATTAATAAACACTGGAAAGGCAGATTATTTGCTCTAGCTACAGGCTGACTACTCAGAAGCTGCATGTCGTTATTTCCCCATATCATACAGAACAGAAAAAGAACACAGCCATGGTTACAAAAGTCGCTTCAGACAATAGTGATCCAGATGTACCCTGATAGCACAACTGTGCCCAATAAATTAACTAAATAGAAGTAAAATTCAGACAATACATTTGTTAAGTGCAATTGCTAAAATAATTCAAAAATTGAATTTAAAGGTAGTTAAGGTGTGATCATTTCAGGTAAAATTGTATAATAAATAATGCTACTCACCAAAGATTACCAAAAATTCCTAACATGTTTAATCATACGGGAAATTTATTCTTAATTTTTAGAAGTCAAGGTCATAATTTTACCTGTCTCAGGTCAGTTTTCTAAAGGAGGAGGTGACACAGGAATGCGGCTGAGTTCAAGCGTGGAATTCATTTGTTGAGAGTTAAATATTTTCCAACTCTATAAAAAAAATTAAAATAGTAAGAGAATATTTTCAAGAACATTTCACAAATGTTTTAAAAGACACACTCACAAAACAGTTTGTGTTTGTGTGTCTGCTGAGCTGATGGTGCACGTGTACATATGCGTGAGGCTTCGTGCCCCGCACATGACCGTGGGGAAGACACCGAGTCTATGCCTTGATTGCTCCCACCTTCCCCTCTCCACACAGCACTGAGTATGGAACTCTCCAGAGGCCTGCCTGCCAACAGACCAGCATGAGATACATAGTTCCCCATCAGCACGGAGATCACACACAGGCAGCACTGATCTCACACACATAACAGGCTTTTTACATCGAGCTCAGGTCCTTGACACCTGTGCAGTAAGCATGTTTACCAGCTCACTGTAGCTCAGCTGACCCTAAAACATCCTACAATAGCTACCATACGCGTATACCTTTATCATATCCAAGAAAAAAATATTTTGGAGACAAAAAGTCTCAAATTTTAGCATCAAGTATTCCATTAATTACCTTTAAGATGTTGGGTAGGTTATTTAAATCGCTGGAGATTCACCTCAAGAGAAATCTAAAATCCTTACAGAAACGTGGACTCCACCCAGCCTCACCATGCCACCCAGCCCCACTCCCAAACTAAATACATAACCAACAGAAAACGGAGTCTACAAACAGCCTTGTTAACTGCAATGCAATTGGAAAAGAAGAGTCTTAAAAAGATGTTAGGTGACTAGGGGATCTCTATGGAAAACAATGTACCGTGACCCTTAACCCCACGCTCTTCACAAAAGTAAATTCCAGGGATCAGCAAGATGATTCTCTGGGTTAGGGCACTTGCTGCCGAGTCTGAGGGGCACTGAGGCAAGAAACAGCGCGAGTCGGGAACCTTACACAAAGGCTGAGGTTGGCACATCAAGAAACCGGCTGAAAGAGAGGGAGCTGGAAAAGCTCCCCAGCCAAGACTGCAGGGAAACGGCAAAGCACGAACCAAACAAGCCTATGGGTGCTATGCAGATGGCGCACAAAGGGCACCGCCTTCCTTAGTACTGGCCTGCTGTCTTCTATTACAACACACACTAGCTGCCCAACTCCTCGTTCTAACACGGGAACCCAGGGAGCTCTGCCAACAACTGCATCACAGGTGACGGCAGTAAAGACAGCAGAGTGATGACCGACTTCAGAAAACCTGCCCGCCGGGGGCTGGAGAGATGGCTCAGAGGTTAAGAGCATTGCCTGCTCTTCCAAAGGTCCTGAGTTCAATTCCCGGCAACCACATGGTGGCTCACAACCATCTGGAATGAGGTCTGGTGCCCTCTTCTGGCCTGCAGGCATACAGACAGACAGAATATTATGTATACAATACAGAATATTGTATACATAATAAGTAAATAAATAAATATTTAAAAAAAAAAAGAAAACCTGCCCGCCATCAAGCAATGAAGCGGACTAAAGCTCTCCACAAACTCTGGGGGTTAATCAGAAGTATAAAGCAAACCGGGAAGTGTGTACTCAAGAGAAGCCGCTGTGGAGATGGCTGAATGAATCGGGCACTTGCCACGCAAGCCCAAGGACCAGAGTTCAGAGTCAGGACCTCCACACTCAAGCAGAGCAGACAGCAGTGTGCTTATAATTTCAACACTCCTACAGAAAGACGGGCAGTAGGGACAGGAAAATCCTAGGAAGCTCAAGGGCCTGAAGTAGAAACTGAACAAGAGACCCTGCTTTGAACAATGTGGAAGGTGAGGACCAGCAGTCTCACAAATCATACATTCTGTGCACACACATACCAAATCCATATCCCCACACACGGGGCCAGGGTTAAGAACACAGAGCTTTAATCCCACACTCGGGAGGCAGAGGTAGGCAGATCTCTGTGAGTTCGAGGCCAGCCTGGTCTGCAGAGCTAGTTCCAGGACAGGCTCCAAAGCCACAGAGAAACCCTGTCTCGAAAAACAAAAACAAAAACAAAAACAAACAAAGAACAGAGAGCTTTGTAGAGTTTTAATCTGTCCTATCCCCACGCTCCACAACAGCTCTGAGAGCAATCAGTGAAAACCGTAGGGACAGCAGCTGGAGGACGGGCTGGTTAAAGTGTGCCTTCAAGGCTTCACTCCCAGAGAAAAGTAATTTCCTGGAAGATCCCACCCACAAAGCTCTATCACTGCTTGACACCAAACAAAAGTCATTCCCTAGAGGCAATTGTTGAAAACAAGGGACATTTTCTTTTCTCAAAAACATCGAAGTTCCTTGAGGTAACAGGACAACAAATGGAACAAATATTTGGGCAACAAAAAGATGAAAAATCTGTAGATTTGATTGCATCTTAACCTCCAAAAATTCCCATCCTTACCTAGTTAACAGACCCAATTCAAAACAAGCTTTCCTAAGGTAAAATTACGTAAGCTAGCTGACATTTTCCTCTTTGTGTTTCCCTTCCATTCGTACTGTAGGGTGATACATGTATAAAATTTCCCACCGTATCTGAGTGTACAGTCTGGGGCTGTTAACATGCATCCCTACGGTTGTAGGATCGCTGAGTGACACTCCTCTGTTGTCTCTGCCCCAGTCATCCTATTGTAGTCTTGGTCTTGAGCACTCTCAGCGCCTCCTACAGGTAGTGTCAGGATTCTGTGACTAGCTAATGTCTCCAAGTATAACATCTCCAAACTCCATACCTGTTCAAGAACACTTCAGACTGTCCTTCCTTGTTAAGGCTAGACAATATTTCAGGGTACGCATAGGGCATTTTATGTTCTGCTAGTCAATTCATCTGTTAATGGGTCTTGGACCGCTTCCAAGTTTTAGGTATTGTGAATGATGTTGAAATGAACATGGGTATACATACATTTCTTCAAGACCCTGACCGTAATTCTTCTCAAACAATCTCAAAAAGAGAAAGAAGGAAACCTAATAGAGGAGACTAAGTGTACTTGAGGCTGAGACAGGAAGATGCCCAGTCTAAAAAAGTCAGTCTGGGGTACATCATGCGACCATTTCAAAAAAAACAAATCAAACAAAAAGAATTGAGGGGGTGAAACAGGAGCAGGCATCTCAGCACCAACACATTTCTCCCCTTCTAACAACGATTACTATCAACTCTTAAATAAATAAGAAAAGTTTTAACGTACATTTTCTTTTTTTTCTTTTTTTTAAATATTTATTTATTTATTATGTATACAATATTCTGTTTGTGTGTATGCTAGCAGACCAGAAGAGGGCACTAGACCCCATCACAGATGGTTGTGAGCCACCATGTGGTTGCTGGGAATTGAACTCAGGACCCTTGGAAGAGCAGGCAATGCTCTTAACCTCTGAGCCATCTCTCCAGCCCTAACGTACATTTTCTAACTTTAAATATAATTAAATGTATATGAAGCATTTATGTTTAAAATCCATAACAACAAATTAAGAAAATAGCTAATCAAATCTGAAAATCCTCTTACAGCATCTTTTAATGAATTTCTTTCCTATACTGTGGTCTTAGATTTATTATTTTTCTTTTTTAAGAGTATAAGCATTTTGTCCTTGTCTGTGTGCAGTGCCAGCAGAGGCCAGAAGAAAGCAGTAGAGTCCCTCTGGAACTAGAGTTACAGACAGCTGTGAGCTGCCACGTGGGTGCTGGGAACTGAACCTGGGTCCTTTGGTCCTCATAGAGCATTTTCTTTTAAAGATTTGTTTATTTATTATGTATACAGCGTTCTGCCTACAGGCCAGAAGAGGGCGCCAGATCTCATTACAGATGACTGCGAGCCACCATGTAGTTGCTGAGAATTGAACTCAGGACCTTCGGAAGAGCAGCTAGTGCTCTTAACCTCTGAGCCACCTCTCCATTGTAGGGCATTTTTTAGGTTAGTGATTGATGTGGGAGGGCCTGGCCCACTGTGGGTGGTCCTGGGTTTTATACGCAGGCTAAGTAAGCTGCATGAAGTAAGCCAATGAATAGCACTGCTCTATGCCTCTGCATCAGCTCCTGCCTCCAGATCCCTGTCCTGCTTGAGTTCCTGTCCTGACGTCTTCAGTGATGAACAGTGAAGTGGATGTGTGAGCCAAACAAACCCTTTCCTCCGCAAGCTGCTTTGTCACGGTGTCTCATCACAGCAACAGTAACCCTAAGACAGCCAGTATCGTACATGCTATAAAGTGTCAGCTAGTAAGAAATACGCCCTACCGTAATGTACAAATCTTTAAGGAGAAAATTTAGGCTGGGTATATATAAAACCTTAGAAGCTAGAGAAGTGGCTCACGGGTTGAGAGCACTGGCTGCTCTTCCAGAGGTCCTGAGTTCAATTCCCAGCAACCACATGATGGCTCACAACCATCTGTAATAAGATCTGGCGCCATCTTCTGGCCTGCAGCATACAGAATACTGTATACATAATAAATAAATCTAAAAAAAAAACTAGCCAACATACTGGGGCTATTTCAGACATTTTACACAATTTACCTATATACAGTAATCCTATGTAACTGTTACCATCCCAATTTTACAGATGAGGAAACAGGCCCTGAGAGATTAAATCATTTCCTGAGGTCAAATAATCAGTAAGTAGTGAGATCAACTCTCTGTCAAGCTAGAATCTAAGAACTGTTTTTCCTCCCTAGTCAGGGTCTTGCAATACCTAGATTAGGCTGGCCTCAAACCTGCATGCCTGCTCTAACAGTGCTTACAGTGCAGGCATACACTACCAAACTGAAGACCTCACCCTAGACACCACACACACTGACTATGCTAAGAACATCGTGTTTATTTCACCTGGTCAGCAAGGTCCTTAAGTAGAAGTCACATTACACCACATATTAGAACTGTATAACTTAGAGTTCTCTATATTAATGATACTCTTGGGGGTATACCAAAATACACCCTTCGAATGAACGGCTCAGCTAGCCCTTACCACTTGGAAAGAAGCAGTTCTGGCTAATGGAACTGCCAGCTTGACTGGACTTGGAATCACCATACAAATACCCCTGTGCATGTGTCTGAGGGCAATTCCCAGAAAGGGTT